TAAAACTGGAGACGGTAAAAAGATCAGATCGGCCACGGCCAGGGGTTTGGGGGGGGTTGGGGGGACGGGGAAGAGCAGGCAGAGAAGAGGATTTTTAAGGCAGTGAAACACTTGTCATAACGCATTTGTCCTCACCACCCACACTGTGCCACCCTAGCGGTGACCCCTCGCGGGAGATGGAGTCTGCTGGTGAGGGTGTGCCCAGGTCTGTCTGGTGGGAATGCTGGTAATGGGGGTCTGCGTGCTGAGTGGGAGAGGGGAGGGCCATGTGGAACTCTCTACTTTCTGCTCACAGCTTTTGCTGTGAGCCTGAATCTACCTTAAAAACTGTAGTCTGTTAGTGTTGAAAAGGGGAGGGGGAGATGAGCCCAGAACCCCTGCCAAGAGTACGGGATGGTACCCTGAGTGCCCAGCAGACTCTGGGTCTCCCTGTTTGCCATGCTGTATGACCCCTACCCCGCAGGAACAGACCCCACTGTACCTACCTGGGGATCACTCCCTGTCTGGTCCCTGGAATCTGGACACCCTGTGGGGGCACAGCCCACTTTGCTGGGCACCGAGTTCTTGCTCTGCCCCTTGTCAAGCGGAGCCAGAGAGCACATCATCCTCCCCACCTGGAGCAATGAGCCAGGAGCCCGTTTTGTGGGTGACCCTCGGCTGGAACCTGCTCACTGGGGAGCTACCTGAAAACATTGATGGTTTTAGCTGAAGAGGCCTCTTCGGTCACCTCCACTTCTTCCTCGTCGTCGAAATACTCCTGGTAGATGTCGACGGCATTGTTCTGCTTGATGCAGTGCTCCATGATCTGGGGGAGGTGGGACACTGAAAGCTCTTGCAAGCAAGGGGAGACCCTTCAGGCCGAGCGGGCTTGGATGGGTCACCTAGTGGGCTTCTCTCATTCTTTATATAAGCCATGCGTTTCCTTCCTTTTCTACTTCTCCTCTTCCTCTCTCCCTTTCTTCTTTGCTTTCGTGGTAGGGACAGGACTCAGCCTTGCAGAGCCTAGGCAAGCACCCCACCACTGGGTTACACTCCCAGCCCACGGCCTATCCACTTTCAACTGAGTTTTGGAAGTGAGATAACATTGTATACAAAGCTTAGCTATCTATACAGCACATAACAGATTTACAGTATACCTGTGAGATTAAGATTTCGTGACTAGGAAAAACGTTTATAAAGGCTCTTCGGGAGGGGAAATAACGAAAGAAAAAAAGGCTGAAATAATGTTGCTGGAGCCAAGCAGAATGATTAATCCCTGCATATCATGGCACCTGGCACCCGCAGACTGACTGCCTTCCCTGTTATTTCAGATCCAGCAAGGAAAGGCCAAGCCCAGCACCATCTCTTCCCGGGTCTTCCCTGACCAGGAGACACACTCTCCGTATCAGGAAAAAGCCTGTCCCCTTTTACTCACAGTGTTTTTTTCTTCTCCTGTGATGTGGTCACATTTTAACATTTGTCTTTTTTTTTTTTTTTTTTTTTTTTTTTTTTTTGGTACTAGGGATCGAACTCAGGACCTTGCTCTTTTGAGGCAGGTGGCGGCACCACTGAGCTAAATCCCCCTCCCCTTAACATGAGTCTTTGTCTTGCAGTGAGTCGTAAACTTTAGGAGAGGGTTATGAGAGATTTGCGGTTACAGCCTCTAGTGTGCCTGGCAGAGACCTGGCGCTCAGCCCAAACGTGAATGCATGAATGTTCATTGCTGGCTGTCCAATAGGACTCTTTTGGAGTCTCTTTTTCCTTTTCTACTCTTTAGTCTTTTTTTCCTCATCAAGTGTATTGGTACTTTTTAGGTACACAGCACAGTTGTCACATTCATCACTGGGATCTGGTGCCTTTACGTGAAGTATCTTGGTTCCACCCTTTAGCCTTGTACCAAGCCGTGTTCAGCTATAGACCTGTGTGGCTGCAGCCAATCTCCTTCTCCCTAGTAGCCAGAGGAGCCACACTGGGCCAGCCGGGGTGACGGGAGGTCCCGACAGAGGGAGCAGGAAGGAGACTCACCGAGCCAAGCTGTGTGATGGTGTTGATGTAGTTCTCGTCCTTCTCCACTTTCTTCCGGAAGCGGATCGTCTGCTCCAGCTCCAGGGGGTTCACGTCCTTGGGCCAGCCCCCCTCCACGTGGTTAACACCCCGGGTCTCCATCTCGAACCGCTCTGTGTTGGCCTAAACAGAGCCCCATGGGTGAGAAAATTTCTGCCCTGGTGTAAGCGCCCGGCCACTTCTGCCAACCAGGATGGCTATGGTGACAGTCTGTGAGGCTGAGGCAAGAGGATGACGAGTTCAAGACTGGCCTGGGCAAACTAGTGAGACCTTGCTTCAGAATGTATAGTAAAGAAACGGTTGGAGGTGTAGCTCAGTAGGAAAGCCTTGAGTTCAATCCCCAGAACCAAAAATAAAATAGAATGCAACTCAGGGGACAGTTGTATCCATTGAACTTGCCACTGTGCCTCCTTCCTACTTTCCCCCATTTTAAAAATGATTATTCATTTTTATTTTTACAATTTTAAACATTTCAAGTACACAGTTTGGTGGCATTATCATGAACAATGTCATTCAGCCATCACCTCCACACCTAGTCCCAAACTTTTCATTACCCCAAGTGGAAACACCATACTTGTATAAAGCACTCCCTCCTTCTCATTTCCTTTGTTTTATTTGGGACCACGCTCGCTATGCAGCCCAGGCTGGCCTCACACCTGCAGTCCTGCCTTCGCCTCTCAAATGGCTGGGATCATAGGCATGTGCCACCACACCCGGTACTCCTCTCCACCTTTAAACCAGCTCTCCCAAAGTAAGCCATCTTGCCAAGGCCGGACTGTGACTGGAGGGCCTGAGTGGTGTGACCAGGATGGCTGCCGTTTTGCTTGTGGCTATGGCGGACTACAGTTGTCCAGTTCAGGCTGGGATAGGGTGAAGGGAATATGAACTTCAAATCACTGAATCTGTCTATGCCCATGGACTGCGTTTTAGCTAAACCAAATGTGACTTTTCCTCAGTTGATCTGGGGTATGATAAAATGGGTTATCTGTTTTTTGGGTTTTTTTTTTTTTTTTGGTACTGGGGGATCGAACTCAGGACCTTGCTCTTGAGAAGCAGGTGGCAGGACCACTGAGCTAAATCCCAGGCCCAAATGGGTTATCTGATTTCATCAGATTTTCTCTCAGAGATTCTTATCCTGACTGGGGCCTATGTCCCTGGTTCCCACAGACACAAAAATAAGCCCTTGCTTATTTTGTCCTGGAGCCTCCTTGTGCCCTGCAGAACTTTCCAGGGGATGCTGTCCTTTCTCTAGCTGGGCAGTTGCCCAGAGAGATAAATCCTTGTTCTACTCAAATATGAGGTGTGATTGAAAGAGGTGGTGACTGTCAAACATTTTTATGACAGTAAAAGACACATCACCATAACCCCTCTCAAAATATTTCCCCCTCACTGTGGACATGTCCCATTGTTCTAGGTACTTTCTGAAGTAGTTGTCTTTAGTTGTGCTGTCATGGTTTTCTTGATGTCCTCATACAATTCAAGATGTTGACCCACCATGGTCATTTCCACTTTGGAGAATAGCCGACAGTTGCACAGATCCAGTGAAAAAATGGAAGAGGACATATGGTAGTGCCTTTCTGTTGTATGGCACTGGGCAGCAGCATTCAACTTTTTTTCAACAAGTGTCATAAAGACACTCATGCATCAGAAGTGGCAAAAGCTGGGCATGGTGCCTGTAATCCCGCATTTGGGAAGCTGAGGCAGAAGGATCATTGGAGCTCGAGGCCAGCCTGGGCACAGAGTGAGATGTCTGTCTCAAAAAACCAGAAACCAGGGCTGGGGATGTAGCTCAGTGGTGCCACCACCTGCCTGGCAAGCACAAAGTCCTGAGTTCAATCGCCAGTACCAAAAACAAAACAAAACAAAACAAAGACCAAATAACAAAAAACAAAAGAAAAAAGTGTCAAGAACAGCGAGATAAGTGTGTTCAAAGCAAGGGGGAGCTAATGATACTTTTTTTTTTTTTGGTACCAGGGATCAAACGCAGGTCCTTGCATTTGTGAGGCAGGCAGCGGAACCGCTAAGCTAAATCTCTGGCCCAGTAACACATTTTTTTACTGTACTAAAATTTAAAGTGTAACAATTTACTGCGTTTTCCATCACTCCTTCTACCGCTCCCTGGTGTTGCAAAGGCCCCACACAACTCTAGCAGGAGTCTCAGGTGTGAGGCTGGAACTCTTGAGTGGAAGAACTCTCAGTTTGGTGCCGTGTCTTCCCCCGAGCCCAGCACTGCAGTGGCCCTGGGGCGAGCCCCCCTCTCACTTCCAGCACTAGCTGGTCTGCCCAGTTGGCTTCCAGGGGGCCAGGGCACCGGCCCTGTTACCTGCCCCTGCTGGCCATCGGCCCTGCCGCACCTAGGCCAGCTGGGACCCACCTCGTGTTCTGACATGCTGACTGAGCACTGGATGCCCGTGTCCACCGGGTTCCGCTCCACGTACAGCGTGGCCAGCTCGGGGCTGGGGGGGATATCGATGTCCAGGTCGGCTGGGCGGTCTGAGAAGTTGCACTGCTTCCCAAACTCGCTGCGCTTCTTGAGGTACACGTACACGATCTCCATGGTGACGGCAGCTGCAGGGCAGAGGTAGCACATGGGGTGACAGGGCCCCCTGGTCTTATCCCCTCTCCACAGCTCTTACTGGAGTGGCTCTCAGGTCTTCACCTGGCTTTCCAGGGTGTGGGGGGATGGGGAGTCCCAGGGGATTTGTCCCGAAGCTGCTCCTGAGGGCTGTGCGCTAAGCATGAAATTGTCTTGCTTGGCTCCTGCACTTGCCCCATGGGGTGGGCAAGAAAGTCACCATTTTACTCAAGGAATTTTCTTTTCAGAGGTTCCCTCAGTGACTTATCCGGCATCATGGAGCCGGTAAGTGGCCTGCCTGACTCCGGAGCTCTTGCCCATTAGGTACAGTTTCTGCTGAATCCGTGGGAGGCAGGAAGAAATATTGACGGCAGGCTGGGGATTTAGCTCAGTGGTTCCGCTGCCTGCCTTGCAAACACAACGACCCAAGTTCGATCCCCGGTACCAGAAAAAGAAATATTGATGGCAATTAGGTTGGGCTAAATTCCCCATCACACTCCACACCTGAGCCACACAGAACACAGACGAGAAGCTCCAGGCCTCTTCTGGAACCCCCCACCCAACCACCCAACTGTCCAAAAGGCTCATCCGTGCTAGGGTTCTGGGCTACCCAACTCCACCCCCATCCCTCTACAGGCCCTCTAGGAATCTCTCCTTTCCCTGCCACTGTCAGGTGGAGGTGAGAGCCACTGAGAAGGGACAAAGCTGGGTGGCTTCCTCAGCGGGCAGAACAGCCAGGCTGTTAGGAAAACCTCTGCCTCGGGCAACTGGCCTTGAAAAGCAGGAATTGGAAAGCAGGCTGGTCAGAGACCTGACCGCAAGTTCTGGCCCTGCCCTCGCCAGCTGCAAGATCTTGGCTGAGACACTTGGTGCCTCCAAGAGCTGACTTCCCCACAAGATGCTCTGGCACCCGTGGGGCTGGTGCTCAGATACAGTACACTTCCTGCAAATCGCCTGTCACTCATCCCAAAAGAGACCTTGGCCTCTGAGCCCCCTAACATCCACTAACTCCACGGCTGCTGAGTGCTTCTCTGTGACAGGTGGCTGGCCTGCCATCGCTGGAGGGGTCTGTGTGACATTACACATGGACATCAGTGACCACCTCTCAGAGACTGTGCCTTTGGTGGCAGGTTCCTGAGAACTGAGACTGTAGCTGTGCAGAGACATGGGAAAAAGCAGGTGAATGGGTGGCTGTGGGTGGCTTGGGGGAGGGAGATAAACTGCATGCTTACCATGGAGGGATTTACAAGCCAAGCCTTTCAACTCTCAGTGGTTTAGGCTCCTGTCTGTGAGCAGGTATTGCTGCCTTTGAATGAAAGGGGCAGCTGGTAGAAAAATGGTTAACGGGCCTATCTCCTGCACTAAGCAAAACCCTTAGGCAAATATCCAAACCCAGGAAATAGATTTTTTAAGATACTATGTAACAGAAATGCTAGGGTAGTAATTCACTTCACCAAGCATCTTTGTTCTGGGGTTTTTTGACCAATAAGTCCCTCTGAGACACCCCAAATTACTCTATTTCTTTTTTTAAAAAAAACCTAATTACATAGACTTTGATAGAGAAGTACAGGTTTTACGAATGTCAAACTATATGCTTTATCTTTTTTTTTTTTTTTTTTTTTAAGATACTGCAGATTGAACCCAGGGACTTACACATGCCAAGCAAGTGCCGTACCATTGAGCCACATCTCCATCCCATGGACGCTTTATCTTAACTCTAATTGCAATTTCCATTACATCACTCCCTCATGCAATAAACATTTATTAAAACTGACTATGAGTAATGAGGCAGTGCGATGCTAACACGAAGACAGACACAAAGAGCGGTGGAATAAAACTGAAAGGTCAGAACGAAACCTTTCCACTGAAGGTTGACTGATCTTTGACAAAGGTCCCAAGGCAGTGCCGTGGGAAAAGGATGGTCTTTTCAGCAAACAGTGCCGGAACAAATGAACATTCTCCAGCAAGAGAGTGACTATAGATTCCTCCCTCACCCCGCACACAAAATGATCTCAAAACGGACTAGAATTCTAAGACTATAAAACCTAGAATTGTCAAAGTGTTCACAGATATAGCAAAGACTGCATATGCCATTGTATGGTTGGACTCTTATACGCACCCGCCTTCGCTGTTCGGCCACCACCAGGAGCCCTGAAGTTATTATAACTGTTGCCAGAGCCACCCTCAAAAAGCATGTGCTGAAGAAACGCCTGCATATCGGAATGAGGGCCTCGGCAACGAACGTTTCAGCAACTGCCAGGGGCGATGGAGACTGGAAACGTGAGGGCTCCTGGGGAGGGAGGACAGAGGCTGTTGCTACGCCCTATCTCCCCGCTGGTTCCCAGAGCTCTGCTGCAGGCGGGAAGGGTGCTCCCTCTCTTTTCTGCCCCATTGACGCACCCTGAGTGACACTGTGTCAGGGAGAAAACCCAGCTTTTAGTGGGTTCGGTGTAGGTGATCTGCACCCGGGAAGAGCTTCCTGATCTCAGTGTTAGCGAAAACAGATGCAGTACGGTCGACTGTCAGACTGTTCTCATCACTTCCATCAGCAACTGTGCCAAGGTAGTGGCTCGAAAGAGTGGCTTATCTCGAGAGCTGCACAAGTGCACAACCCTTTGTTTTTCCCTGCGCAAAACCAAGAAATAGTGATGCCCCCCGCTCAAGATAATAGTGGAGTCAGAGTGAGAATTTCCCTGGAGAATTTCTGACTGTCATTTCCTTCAAAGAGCATCCAATAATAAAAAGGCACAGTCCCTTTAAAGAATTAAATGCTTTTTGGCTTATGTATCAATAAATAGAAAAGTAATAAGCAAGTCACCACTATTTCAGAAATGGTCTCTGAAACTGCAATTTTAAAAGCTCAAAAACAAAATTTTAGGGCCGGGGATTTAGCGCAGCTGCCTACCCTGCAAGCACAAGGACCCGAGTTCAATCCTGGGTACCAAAAACAAACAAACAAACAAGCAAACAAAGACACAATGTTAAATGTTCCCCCTTAAAACTTGAGAGCTTGGTACCTGGCTGTAGTGCAGTTGTGGGGGGACTCGAGGAGGTGGGGCCTGGCTAGAGGAGGTAGATCATGGGGACACGTCTCTGAAGTGTAGGCTGTGTCCCCAATCCCTCTCCTGCTCTCTCTGCCTCTGTCCACCATGAAATGAGCTACTTTGTTCCACCACATAGCCCCTGCCAATATGCCCTGCCTTACCAGGCCCTGAAGGAGCAGAGCCAGGTGACCATGGACTGAGGCCTCTGAAACTGCGAGTCAGCCTAAGCCTTTCCTCCCTTAAGTTGATTTTCTCAGGAATTTTGTCAATAGAGTGGAAAGAAAGCCAGCTAACATGTGGCATCAAACGTATAGTTTATAGGATAGGATCGTGTGGCTCAGTGGTAGCGTTCTTGCCTAGTATGTATGACACCCTGCGTTGGATCCCCTGTGCTGCCAAAAAAAAAAAAAAAAAAAAAAAAAGGTAATAATAATAAAATGGGCATGGTTAGGCATACTTGCAATCCTAGCACTCAGAAGGCTGAGGCAGGAGGATCACCACCAGTTTGAGGCCAGCCTGGTTCAAGACCAGTTTAAATGCTGATATATGCCAGGGTAGCGACTAGAAATTTCTGCTGTCCATAGTCGCCCAAAGGAACATTATGACTAGACATGCGTCTGACCTACTTACCCCGACCTCAGGGCTGTAAGGAACCTGCCTAACGGGACTGTCTGCTGACCCCTGAGATGCAGGGCCCAGAGCCGGGTGACGATCTAGAAGCAGACGTCTGGGTGGATTTGGCCTATTATGGTTCATGTCTAGATGTCCCCCTAAAGTCTCCTGTGCTCAGAAGTAGGGCTTTGGGGAGGTGACTGGACAATGGATGTGCGATCCCGGATTAGTCCACGGAGGCTTAGGTCTGGGTGTGATGTTGGGGGGTGAAGTGTGATGGGAGGAGGGTCACAGCGGGTGTGGCCTAGAAGGCTATACATACATACATACGTATGTCCCTCCTCCTCCCTTGATCTCTGCTCTTCTCCCGCCATATCATGAGTTGCTTCCCCTCTGCCAGGACAACCTGCTCTGGAGCTAGCTATGGACTGAAACTTTTACAGACTGTGAGCCAAAATAAATCCTTCCCTCTTCAAGTTGTGGGTGTTGGGTTTTGTTGTCTCAGGACTGAGAAGGTATCTAAGACGGCCCTGAGCCTCCTCTGTAGTGGTGAGGGAGAAGGAAGTGACAAGAGTTAATTAACTCCTGTCTCTTCAGATCCACATAAACTGTTCCTCGGAGACAGCACAACTTTGAATCATTCCCACCGCAGAACAACCCAACCTGAACCAGACTCTTGCAGAAAGTGCTTCAAAAACACACTCTCTCCCTCCCCCTCCCCCCTCCCCCACCTCTCTCCTGGGTGGACTGGCTGGGAGGAAAGAGGGTAGGGAGCAGAGAAGCACAAACTGCAGCAGGATGCCTTGATGTGTTTACTCCGCATGGACCAAGAGGCGACCTTGGGGGAAACACTGCAAATTCACTTCCGGTCTCCACCTCTCCCACCACACTGAGAAGCACCTGCGCCTCCGGACTGGGCACTGCCTGTCTGGCAAGCTCAAGGTCCTGGGTTCAATTCCCAATACCAAAAATAAATAAAATAAAATAAAATAGAGGCCCACACTCCCAGCCCTGTAGAGATCCCTCACCCCACCTCCCCAGTATGCATACTGATGGGGTTAGGGGTGCAAGGGGTTCAGAGGTTGCAGAGTCCTGTGAGTTGGGGAGTTTCCAGGGCAGCCGGGATCAGTGCGGTGGAGAACCCTAGGCCTCTTGGACCCACCATCCCGCAGATTCATCCCCAAAGGAAACCCTTGAGCCACTGGTGGTTTTTACCCTTGGGAGTCTCTCTCCTCCTCTCTCCGCTGTTCTCCAGCTGTGGACGGCCTCCTGGCGCCCGCCCCTTATCCTGTGTCGGCTCCTCCTGGCCGCTCCGCCAGCCGGCAAACACCCAAGCCAAGTCCTCGGCTTCAGAAGCTCCTCAAACGGCTGAGAGCAGCGCAGTTGACCGATTGCCTAGCAACCCCGGCCCGGCGGGAGGGGACCTGGTAGCGGGCTGCGAGGGTGACCCGAGCACGTGACTGTTGGCATCTCTACTCCCTCCGCGGGAGGTCTGTGGAGGAGGAGGAAAGTTAAGGAGTTAGTGAAGTACCGGTAGTGGTAATAAACATTAGTAGGAGCTTTGCCAGGGGAATTACCCACTTCTACAGATATGCATCAGGCAAGGTCCCTAGACAGTGCAAGAAAAGCAGTCAACGCTGGGGAAGCCCTGAGTTCTGGCGGCTGAAGGCAAGCTCAGTAAACTGCTTTGATGTTGGCAGGCCATTTTGCTACTTCTGCAATCGCCGCCGCCCCATATTCCCAGCACGTTGTATAATAAACACTTCCAACCAAGCCTCTGGGATAGAAACTCCTTGAGAGCAGGGGTTGGGTATTTCCATAGCTTAGCTGCACGGTTGGCACGCTGCAAACCTGTGTTCAGGTATTTTACTTCTCATCAGGTTCAGGTCATAAGTGAGATAATGTAAACTAAATGAAGGGAATTTGGGGTTAGAAAAGCACATCTTGCTGGGCGTGGTGGCGCACGCCTGTAATCCCAGCACTCGGGAGGCTGAGGCAGGAGGATCCCTGTGAGTTCGAGACCAGCCTGGGCTACACAGTGAGTTCCAGGTCAGTCTCAACTACATAGTGAGACCCTGTCTCAAAAAACCAAAAAAAAAAAAAAAAAAAAACCCCAAAAAAAAAAAAAAAAAAAAAAAAAAAAAACCCCAAAAAAACAAAACAAAAAAACATCTAAGGTCCCAGGGAGCTTCTCCAGGAAAAGTCCTGAGTGCTTTACAGAGCTGGGAACCCTCGGTATTTACTTTTCATAGGACCTTGGGCAAGTTACTTTCCCTTTCTAAGACTCAACTTTCTGCATCTCAATTCTTAGAGGACAACTGGGAGGAGTGCCCAGCCACACGCTGAAGGCAGAGCCAGAATGGACACACAGGGACTGAGAGAGATGAGCCTGAACTCAGGGTGGACACCGGAGATTTGGACTGGAGTCCAAATGAATGGATGAATCATCCAAGAAGTGGGATTTGGGTTGGACCTGGGCCCTGGAAAATGGATATGAACTGCGGGGGGAAGGAACAGGGGAAGCAGTCCAGACTGTGTGTGGGGGGGGTAAGCAAGGCAGGAAAAGGGATCTGCCCCTAATGGGGTATCACAGGCTCCCCCCGATGACCACCCAGCTGTGGCTGCAGGAGTGGGCGTGGGTAGATAAGAAAGGAGAAACGGGAAAGGTTGAACGGAAACTGCAGCGTCCTTTCTCTTTTTGCTGCAACCACTGATCCCAAGCTCCCCACCCTCTGAAGGCCGGAGGGCTGCCAGCTACTGCGGAAAGGGAAACTGCTCCTTGGAAACCTCCTGGCAGGCCCAGCCGCTAGGGGAAGCCAGCAGGGGTGTAATGAGGAGTGTTCGCAGGACCTCAGGGGGAAAAATGCAGTATCCTTGGACCCTCCACTCAGTCACAGCATAAATGGCAAAAGAAATCCTTTGCTGAGGTCAGCCCCATCCCTGGACATCCCCTTCCAACCTGAGTCACAATCCACTGCACTTCTTTTTCCATTTTGTTAAAATCACTGTAAAATAAAACAGAACAAAAGTTTTTGCTTATTTTTTGTTTTGTTTTGTTTTGTTTTGGTACCGGCGTTCGAACTCGGATTCTTGTGCTTGCGAGGCAGGCGCCAGAACTAGTGAGCTAAATCCTCGGCCCAGTATTTGCTTATTTTTTAATTGAGTTATTTTTGGTTGTTGAGTCTTAGGAGTTGTCTGTGTATTATGGACATGAACACCGTAGCAGACTGCAGATATCTTCTCTTTTTCTGTGGGTTGCTTCTTTACTCTCTTGATGGTATCTTTTTTAAAAAAAATTTTGAGACAGGGTCTTGCTATGTGGCCCAGGCTGACCTTGGACTCACCGCAACCTTCCTGCCTGGGATTACAGCTTTGTACCACGCCCAGGTTTTGATAGTATCTTTGGAGGCATACATTTAAACAATCTTACACACAGTTCAGTTTGTCCACTGTTTCTTTTGTTGCCTGTGTCTTCCCCGTCATAGCCAAGAAATTGTGCTCATATCCAATGCTGCAAAAATGTTTCCCTATGTTTTCTTCTAAGAGTTTCAGTTTTAGGTCGCGCTTTTAGGCCATGCATCCACTCGGAGTTAGTTTTTGTACATTATGTTAGGTAAGGGTCCGACTTCATTGTTTTGAATGTGGATATCCCATTTTCCCAGCATCGTTTGTTAAAAAGACCGTCTCTCTGGGGCTGCATGTGTATACCAGTGGTAGAGCACTTGCCTCACATACATAAAGCCGTGAGAACCATCCTTACCACTGAAAAAAAATCCACCGTCTGGATTTCCATGTTGAAAATGATTTAACCATATGTTCAGAGTTTTATTTCCAGATGCTAGTCCATTCCACTGGTCTTTAGGTCTGTCTTTATGCTCATCCTATACCTCTTGATTACTATAGCATTTATTAAGTTTTAAAATCAGAAACTGGCCGGGCATGGTGGCGCACGCCTGTAATCCCAGCACTTGGGAGGCTGAGGCAGGAGAATCACTGTGAGTTCGAGACCAGCCTGGGCTACATTGTGAGTTCCAGGTCGGCCTCAACTACATAGTGAGACCCTGTCTCAAAAAACAAACAAACAAAAATAATTAGAAACTGTGAAGCCTCCGGCGTAGTTCTTTTTAAAGATTGTTTAGGCTATCCCATATGAATTTTAGGATAGATTTATTATCATTATTATTATTTTGCAGCCCTGGAGATCACACATTCTAGGCAAGTGCCCTACCACAGAGCTTTAGCCCCAGCCAAGATGGATTTTTCTATTTCTTTAAAAACAAAATTGGGATTTTGATAGGGATTGCATTGAATCTGTAGATAATTTTAGGTAGTACTGACATCTTATTAGTATTAAGTCTTAATATTAATATATATCTTTCCATTCGTTTGTGTCTTCTTTAATTTCAACAATATTTTTTAGTGTTTTAGTTTTTTGAGACAGGGTCTCACTGTGTAGCTGAGACTGACCTGGAACTCACTATGTAGCCCAGGCTGGTCTGGAACTCACAGTGATTCTCCTGCCTCAGCCTCCCGAGTGCTGGGATTACAGGCTGTGCACCACCACACCTGGCTTTTTAGTTTTTATTGTAGACATCTTTCCTTTCCTTGGTTAGTTTCTAAGTACTTTATTCTTTTTTGCTGCGTTTGTAAATGACATTACTTTCTTAATTTACTTTTTGACTTTTTTTTTGTGGTACTGGGGATTGAACTCAGGACCTTGCACTTTTGAGGCAGGCACAGTGCCACCGAGCTAAATCCCCAGCCCAATTTGTTAACATTTGTTATTGTTAGTGTAAGGAAATATAACTAATTTTGGTGTGTTGACTTTATATATAGTTACTTTGCGAAATTTATTAATGACAAGTTTCTGAATATTTAGATTTCTACATATAGATTATATCATCTGTGAACAGAGGTAATTTTACTTCCCTTCTAAGTTAGATGCCTTTTTAAAGTTTTTATCTTTTCTAATTGCCTTGGCAAGAGCTTTTAGTACTATGTTGAATAGCAGTGGTGAAAGTGAGCATAGTTGCTGTCCTCTTTTAAAATAAACTTTTATTTTAAAGGTTTTAGGTTTACAGAAAAGCTGCCTGGAGAGTACTGAGCATTCGCATGTACCCCACATCCAGTTTCCTCTATTATTACCACCTTACATTAATAGGATAAAAGTTTTAAAATTAGTGAGTCAATATTGATTTACGCTATTATGAACTAAAGTCCATACTTGATTTCGATTTCCCCCAATATCTTTCCTTCTGACCAAAGCAACATTGTTTCTCATATTACATTTAGTCATCACCGTCTTCTTTGGCTCCTCCTGGCCATGACAGTTTCTTGGACCATCCTGGTTTTTGATGACCTTGGCAGTTTGGATTAGTACAGGTCCGATATTTGCAGAATGATTCTCAAATGGGGTGTGCTTGATTCTTTTTTCCACGTCAGACTGGGATTGTAGGTTTTGGGGAGAGCGCCCACAGAGATAAAATACCCTTCTCATCACATCTGGGTACTGCTGGCCACACGACTGGTCACTCTGTGTTTTCCTGATGTAGTGTTTGCCAGGCTTCTCCGCTCGGGAGTTACTCTGCACCCTCTTCCTTACGGTATGCTTTAGAAGGAAGTTATTACACATGTCTCCCCAGTGGCAAGAAGCTTCAGACGGTGGCACATGTCTTTAAACCTCTGTAAATCCCAATGCTCCAGGAGGCTGAGGCAGGAGGATTGCAAATTTGAACACAGCTTGAGCAAATTGGATACTTTAATCTCAAAATAAAAAGTAGAAAAGGGCTGGGGAGGTAGCGCAGTGGAAAAGTCTGGGGTTCAATTCTCAGTACCAAAAAGAAAAAAAAAAAGTGGGAATTTACTTTTGATTTTCTTGAACGTGGAGTATCTATATACATTATCTGTAATTCTCCTACACACAGGCTTAACTTTTCATGGCTAGTAATGGGCAATATAAAACAATTGGTAGACACCACCTGCTTTCCTCACCAATGCTTAAAGCAAGCTGTGTCCTGACTTGCAGGAATGAGGTGTAGCACATCCAGCAGGATGGCTGCTGTGTGCCCTCATTAACAGACCCACTCATGCCTAATCACCCTCACAGACAGTGCCTGGAAAATGCTGCATTTGCCCCATTCATCAGTGTTGTTGGAATGCTTGCCACAGTACTTGGCTTGTCAAAGCTTCTTGTGAAGGCATCCATCACACCCCTGGCAAGACCACCTGCTCTACACTTTGCCCCGGTTAAGTAGCATCGATTGCTCTCTCACTAGCATAGACCAGAACTCCCCATTATCTCAGGGAAAGACTCCCTCTCCTCTGTAGTCCCACCGTCATCCGTGTAGACTGCTCCTCCGCCCTCTCTTTGTTTAAAGCTCTGAGCCACAAAATTTTTTGAGTATTCCAAGGCAGCTGTTCTGCCCGAGGGTCACACTTCACCTGGTCTAGGGTGTAAGGAACGGGGAAAGGGGATGCTACTAGAGCCTCTGCAATGAGTCCTGGTCTTCTGTGACCCACAACAACACAAAGCAAATTAATAAAGACGGGAAACAAGACTTATAGAAGAAGATAAGCTTTGGGCCTGATCAGTATTGCTTTGGGAAGTAAAGATGAAAGACCCTAAATTTGCCACACCTTTATTCAGTCCACCAGGAGTAACAGATGACTTGGAAGGCAGTGGTAATCCTAGGAAAATGAGGAATTTATGCAGATGAAGATCCTAGGTCACAAAGAACTTATGGTGAGTAGGAATTTGTTCCTCCCAGGATGTCTTCGGCTGATGTCATTCTGTCCTGGAGCATCACAGGATCATAGATAGGGCCATTGAGGTTTGAGCTGTGACCAGAGGTGAAAATGGTGTTATTTCTTGACACACCATAGCCGACCTGTAGGCAGGAGAACTGAGCTTGATCAAAATTTAATTGTGAAATGATTTTCCCCCCAAATTATGCAGAATTGCTCCCAATACTGGGGTCCATACAGATGGGGCTTTTCTTGGGGAACTGAATCCCAGACTAAAAAGTCATTTACAGTTTATGTCCAAAAGGACAGAAGAGAGCGGAAAAGAGAGCAGGAGCCGTACTCAAGACATATATCTCTGGGGTGAGCTGGAAGAGGAGATTTTGGAAAGGTGGAAACTCTAGGCATTTCAGAAGACGCCAAACCCTTTCACATCCCAGGTGGCCTGGACGGTGCATCTGTATCAAGGCAGCCATACTCTGCCTGACACACCACTGCCAGATATCACATTACCTGGGAACGGTGAGGACAGGAGACACGCAGGGAAGGACACAGCAGGCGTAGCCAGATTGTCTTCCTCTCTCTGCCTGGATCCAGAGAGGGAGGCTGGAGTTGGAGCCAAAGCTGGGGCTCTGCTCCCCTCAGAGCACTCAGAGTTTGAGATGAGGAGTCCAGGGAGAGGATGTGCTAGCAGCTTGTCTGTCAGCCACACACTTCCATCTTCTCCCTGGTCAGATCTTTGTCCTTCCTTCTTTCACAGGGTAAAACCACCATCTTCCTTGAAAGACCAGCAAGGCCAAGACCGCTCGGCTGCCTGACCCAGTAGCTGCGATCCTGTTCTCCCGCTACCAGGGGTGTGTCGGTTGGTGTAGGCCACGCAACCCTGTTGCCCCTCTTTGCTTCTCCAGCTTGTCTGCCTCCTGCTTCTTTGTTCTTTCTTGGTTTTTCTCTTCCTTGTGCTCCTCCAGTATTGGGGATGCTTACTGGACTCTTCCCAGCCTTTTTGCACAGCTCTGCCTCTCTCCACGGCATTAGTGACTACATGTGTGCATGTCCTTCAGATCTAGGTCTCCAGGCCTCTTTTATCAACGTGTCCTGATCTTGACCTGCCCGTCCAACCTTGCTGTTCAGATGCTGCAAACACCCTGTTAACACAACTTACCAGGAAGAAGGGCCTCACCCCCTGCCCATGTGGCTTTTCTCCATTATCCCACAGTCCCAGCCTGTCACCTAGGATGTAGGGATGGCCCTTGACTGTTCCCTATGAAACAGGGTGACAGGCATGTATAACTACCATGACCCTGAGTGCCACCTGTCAGTCATGTGTTTAGGAGGCACTCGTTGCATGCTTTTTATGCTGAGTGAGCCCGGGAAGGCTTTTGCCTCACACTTGACAAAGACACACAGCTGAGCTGACAGATGGCCGCTAGGCAGGAAGACGGTGCTTCCTTAGTAGGATCTGAGTCCCACATTCTTGTCTAGACGCATGCATCAGTGGTTGAAAAGGGAGATACAGATTTACTAATGAGAAGAGTGGAATTTCTTCGGGAAGGGTAATTTTGCTCAATTGCAGTTCAAAGGTAGTGTTCCGTACCACCAAATCAGTTGCAAATGTCTGATATTTTTTAACCACTTAAAAATGTAAAAACTAGGGCTGAAGATGAAGCTTAATGGTAGAGTGCTTGCCTAGCATATATTAGGCCACGTTCAACACCAAGCACTGCAATAAATAAATACATACACAAATAAACAAACAAAATAAAAAATGTAAGCAAGACATGGTGGAACACAGTTGTGATCTCAGCACTCTGGGAGGCTGAGGCAGGAAGATTGCAAGTTTGAGCCCAGCCTGGGCAACTAAGTGAGACCCTGTCTCAAACGAAAACTAAAAATGGATCAGGGATGTAGCTTGGTATGAAGGCCCTGGGTTCAAACTCCAGTAACACATACACACACACACACACACACACACACACACGCACACACACGTAAAATCTAGCTAAGTATAGTGCATTTGCCTTTAGGTCCAGCACTGGGGAAGCTGAGGTAGGCGGGTCACTTGAGCCCAGGAATTTGAGACCAGCTTGGGCAGCACAGTGAGACCCTATCTATAAATCAATTACAAATAACGATTCTATACTCACAGGCCATACAAAGTAGGAGGTCAGGCTAGGCTCATAGCTGTTGTTGGCTGGCCCCCGTGATCAAGTCAGTACGTTTTGGTGAAGTAAAAGAAAGCAGGGGAGAGGAAGGTAATTCTCTTTGCCTGGGTGTTTGCCAGTGAGCAGGCCAAAGGGCAGGAATACCTTCCTGCTGCTCTTGCATATGAGGCTGCAAAGCTTCACAGCTGGGAAAACACAGGCGGGTGGGAAACAGCTTTGGGGAAGGACCTGCTGAGTGGTGAGGCGGGCCAAGGGCAGCCAGGAGCACACGCATGCAGGTGCCTGACAGTCACTGCTCTTCCTCTCCAGGTTAACCCGGCTGCCCATCTCCCTGCAGTATGCAGTCAGGCAGCTCAGAGGATGGGCAAGGGCAGCCCTCTCCCTACCCCACCACTGCAGGCTGGGGCCGGAAGGGAGGTGCTGCCTGAACCACCCTGAGGCCTGTGCATTCCCAGGGCCTCTTTCTTGCTTCAGGGCCTGCTGCAGCTAGGCTCTCTGTCCAGATCAGAGACAACGAAAGCCCCCAAAGCCAGTCCTATTGGGTCCTGGCGCTGCAGGTGCCCTTGAAACGTCAAACTAGCCACACAAAGTGTTTCCTCATTGCCCCAAGCCATTTCCCAAGCCCAGATAGAGAGGACTGGGAAAAACACCGCTATCCAGGGAGGTGGATTCTGACACCTACTTCTTTTCTTCTGAGTTCCACTTCTGCAGGGCTGTCTGCGTCTCCCCTCAGGTGCTCCCCGAGGAGCTTCAGCCACTCACTCCAGGGGCTCCTTAGAGTGCAGTCCTCCTGCGAATCAAGTGAAGCATCATCAGCTGCTTAGGACTTGGAGCGTGGAGCGGGAACCTCACCAACCCCCAGCTGGCCCAGCTTCCCCAGGGACTCAGCAAAGCAAGCAGGAAGGAGGCTGACTGGGGGCCTCCAGCCTGGACAGGCAGCACCAGGACGGCAAGTGGTTGGGAGGAGCCTGCAGCAAGGACCATGTGAAGCTGGTGGAGGGATGGCGCCTTCATGCGGGAGGCAACCGCTGTGTGACCACTGCCCAATCCCAGGGTACCATCTGGAGGCACCCAGCAGCAGGCTGGGGCTGGAGCTGGAGCCCTGGGCTAGAAACTCCTAGTTCTGCACTCAACTCCAACCAGGCCCTTGGTCTCAATGCGTCTGTCGACTACTACGCAGAATGAAAGGCTTCCTAGGGTCACTGTGAGATTTAATTAAAAATTAATGAAATCCCAGGAGGCTGAGGCAGGAGGATCTCAAGTTTGAGACCTGTCTATGCAATTTAGCAAGACTCCTATCTCAGAAGGGTGTGTGGCGGTGCTCAGTGATAGAGCACCTGAGTTCAGCCCCAGGTACCACAAAAACAAAAATAGAACAAAGTACCTAAACACACACATACCCACACACACCTAGGGCAGACCCTGGCACATAGAGCACTCAATAGTTGCTACTTATTAGCAACCTTAAGAGCAGTGATGACTAGTGGGAACCCTAGAGAAAGACGGGGCAGAAAAAAGGCCTGTCCTTAAGTTTTGCAAGAGCAGCTAGAGGCCTGGGACATTCACTCTTAGTCCCCCTTCAATCCTCAGTCAAATCACTAGTGGAATTTCTAAAACCCCATTCACGGTGTGATGCTGTGAACACAGACGGGGCCAGAGGGGGCCATTAGATACCATTACACCCTGTGCCAAAGAAGTCAGAGGCCAAGCACACGTTTTAGTACGAGCGGTTTATTTCTCTTCCAGGTGAGGGTGTACATGTAGCACACAGAAGTTTGTGGAACACCCGGGCAATTTTAGTTCAGTTTACACGCATCACAAACAACCCATCCGTTGCCAATAAGGACATGTTAGAAGGGACACCTCGGTGTCATGGGGCTACTTGCACAGTGACACAGCCACATGAAGGTGTTTACAGTTCATGGTATGCACAGGTTAGCATAGCGGGGATGGCGAGCCGCAGGTCCCCTGTGGCCCAATTCTGTCACAGAGGACTCTGCTGTCAGTACGTGATGACAGAGTGATTCTTCTGAGATGGAAACAGAACCCTTGTCCCGAGCCCCTGCCCACCCACTGCTTGGAACGCGAAGCTGTGGGCTGGCGGTGCTCACGGCGGGTTGGCAGGAGGCCGGAAGTACCATAGGCCCTAACCCTGGCCCCGCAGTGGGCAAGACGGGGGTCGTTATGTCCTCCTGGCCCACAAGCTACTTCTCACCTACAGGGGCAGAGTCCAGGACACTGGCATGGGGCCAGCATGGTGGTGGAGGTGGCGAGGCCTGTCCTTGCATCGAGCTGTAATCCCATCACTTTGCTAGAACCTTTGATGACAAACTTGCTTGAAGACAAGAGGGAAGGGCTAGTTGTCTTGGGCATTTGTCTCTTCTCTGGAGCAGAGGACTCCACTGTGTACAGGCCTCCCTCCTGGGGCAGGATGAAGTCACACACACTGCAACAGCAGCTTGGGACAGGATGCTTCACAAATCTTTATTGTATTTAAAACTCCTTCTTCCCCTCTCTCTCTCTCTTTTTTTTAATTTAAATTTTTTTTTTTTGAGACAGGGTCTCACTATGTAGTGGAGACTGACCTGGAACTCACTATGTAGCCCAGACTGGTCTTGAACTCACAACGATCCTCCTGCCTCAGCCTCCCGAGTGCTGGGATTACAGGCGTGCGCCACCACGCCCGGCTTCTCTCCTCCTGACCTGTAATAAACTGGCTGGTGCCAGCAAAAACCTACAACAGTAGTGAAAAAGCCAGCTTACGGAATGGGGCCCCAAATCTATGGTAAAAACTGGGTGAGCTATGAGTTGAGATTCTTCGGATCACCAAACTTTTGAAACACCGGGAAAAAGAGTGAAGTATTTGTCCATACCTGAGACCATCAGCTGGGGACGCAAGGATGGGCAGAACATGGCAGGCTTTCTGCTGCGATACCCTGGGCCACCAGCTGCAGAGGCCTCCAGGGCCCAGGCGGAGTCCAGGTGGCCCAGGAACTCAGATTTGGACAGGGTTCTGGACTCATCAGGGACACTGTCTCCCCTACACTCGCCTCCGGGTAAGCCCTTCCCACTGTCACCTGCTAATGGGGGCAGAGGTGACTCGGGAGGGGCTGCCTGGGCTTTCGGCCGAGTTGACAAGAAGCAGGGGATTCAGCTCTCAGGCTGGCAGTGCCTGGCGGCTCCCTCCTCGATGCCATTCCCCACCAGCTGGTGGGGCGGCGCCCTGGGGTAGAGAGCGGGCAGGAGAGAGGCCTGGGTCATGGCCTTCTGTCCACCGAGGACTTCGGTCAGAAGTCTCAGCAGTGCCTCTGCAGCCACAGGAGTCCGCCGGTCTCCGGGTGTCTTTGGTTTCCATTAGAGCAATGCACCTTGTGTGCGCATTTGTTAAAAACCAAACAGGAAGGCGGCAACAGGAATCCAGAAGTCTTTTAGGCTGGAAATTCACCGCTGTAGTGCCTCGAGTGCTCATCTGCCACGGACATGTAGGTGGCCCTCATGCTGGGGGAGTACTGCAGGGAGACGGCAGGGGAGTTAGCGTGGGCACAGCTGAGCCGAGGCCAGAGTCCACTCTCCATCCACAGATTCAGCCAATTTCAGACCCAACGATAGTTTAAAAATACATCCAGGTGTGGTGGCATACACCTGTAACCCCAACATGATGGGAGGCTGAGGCAGGAAGGTGGCAAGTTCAAGTCCAGCCTGGGTTACTTGGCCATTTAATTTAGCGAGACTCTGTCTCAAAATGAAAAAAATTTAAAGGGGTGGGGTGGGGATGTTGCTCAGGGCAAAGGTTTTGGGTTCAATCCCCAGTACCAGAAGAAAAGGTGGGGGGGCGGGTAAAAAAGATCAGGATACATTAGCCAAGGAGCAGAACTCCTGGAGGTGAGAGCTGGGCCAGCCGCAGCAGCCAGGGCAGGCTTTGCGTCTGTCTGGCAGTGAATCCAGGGCCACATCGGACAGGGCACACGCACACAGCCCAGCTGTCCTGCTTCTGCTGTGCCCACCCTAGAGAATGCCACCAGCACCGGGTCTGCACCCCACCCGGGGCAGTGTTTGAGTGCAACGGGGCAGCTGGCAGCCAGAAGACCCGGGAACTGGGTCCAAACCCCAGCCGGGCAGGCAGGAAGGGCAGCTTACTGTGGGCGGTGGGGAGCCTCTCCCGATGAGCGGCACGTTCTCGTAGCGAGGGTTCCCACCAAAGAGCACGGCCTGGTTCCTGCGGGCCGAGAGAAGCAGTCAGGAGGGCCCAGGGTAAGGGTTGTGTGTGCAGATGTCTCCAGGAAGGTCCCACGGATGAGCATGTGGTGAGCATGGAAAAGGATGGAGCATAGGTAGGAAAATAAAAAGGATAAGGTACTCTATGGGGACCAGGGGACATGCAGCAGAGGACAGGTATGGGGAACAGCAGGGCCTGTGGTCTGCTGGGCTTCGATGCCTTCCCTCCCCTATGTGGCTCTGTGACCAAAACCAGCAGAGCCAGCTCCCCTCCAGGGCCGGGAAAGGCTGTGCTGCCCCAAGCTGGAGGCGGGGGCCTGGCCATACATGTACTCGGAGACCGGGGCATTAGAGATGGTCTGGGTGGGGGGCTGCAGGCTGCTCTGGCTCCCCAGGCCACTGCTGTAGCTGCAGAAGCTGTGTAGCTGCCCCCTCGGTGGGTTGTGGGCCGCGATACGCCGTGCTTGGGGGTTGAAGGGGTCATCGTCATCAATGTCATCATAGTCTCGATCCCTAGAACGACATGTAAAATTTGGCCAGGGAGGCGCGAGCCACTGGGTCCTGGTCTTCCTAGTCTTTCTTCCCGGGGTGCTCCTGACAGCCACATGCGTCTTCTGGAGATTCTTTGAAAGCATGACCCTTGACCAGTCACTCCATCCCCCTCTAACCCATGTTCACCTCTTCAGGCAGCCCACCAGCTGACTGCACAGCGGCCTCCCACCCCTAGCTCTGGTCCTTTACAAGATGCCAACACCCTACCTTGTCCCGAGACCACTGGTTCCCTCCTAACAGGGACTCCATCTGTCCTTGGGGCTCCTGGGGGACCCTTCCAGCTCCTACAACTGCCCTCATCATCCTGTCTTACAAGCCCTGCCAAGGGAGAGGAGCAGCAAGGCAGCCCACGGGTGGCACAGGGCTGTCACCATCCTCAGCCCCTGTAGTCACCCAGGCAGCCTTCTGGGGCCGATGCTGCTCTCCCAGTCCCACACGATCAGCGCCCCCCGGCTGCAGGAGGCTCCCCAAGCCCACCTGCTGGTGAAGTGCTTCCAGGCCGGTGGCCCTGCAGAGATGAGCGTGGAGAAGGCCAGGGCGGCCAGGAGGGAGAAGAGGCCAAGGAAGAGCAGGCCCTCGATGCCGTCGTAGCAGATGCCAGTGAGGGCATCCAGGTAGTCCTGGGAGCAGAGGGACACACCGTTGACGAATGAGGGCCACAGCCTGGACCTGGGCTCTCCTGGCTGCTCCCCATCCCAAGCACCTTTTATGACCATTAGGTCTTCACTGGAGAACACAACACAACAGGGCTCCATGGGCTCACACCTGCTGTGTGTCGGGCGCTGGAGGGCTGGCTCTGAGCCAGGCAGGTGAAGCTGCGGGGGACGGGTAGCCAGGATGGGGTGGGGCATAAAGTCAGGCCAGGGTGGCAGGGAGAAGCACGGCTTGAGGCAGTGAGGCAAAGGGGATGAGCTTGGCGTGTTTTAAAGAGAAAGAACAGGATGAGGTGTCATGAGCCTGTAGTCCCAGGTGCTTGGGAGGCTGAGGCGGGAAGACTGCTTGAGGTCAGGAGTTGAGTTAGAGACCACAAAGCAGTGAGACTCCAACTCCAAGAGAAAGGCCAGCAGAAGAGGAATCTAGATTTTCCATAAATGAGAGGAAGACAGGAATGTCTGGAGATAGAAGGATGTGATCTGATTTTTCTTTCTTTCTGAGACAGAGTCTCACTATGCAGCACAGGCTGACTTTGAACTCATGGCAATCCTGCCTCCGCCTCCTGAGTGTTGGGATTCCAGGCAGGCACTGCCACACCCAGTGATCTGATTCATTTTAAAAAATGACCACTCTGGCTGTGTGTGGGGAGGGTCTTGGGGGGGTACGGGGCAGGAGGAAGTGGCGAGGCCCATGTTTCCTAGGGAATAGTTTGGAGGTCGTGGCTGTCACCCAGGGGAGCAGGATGGTGCCTGGACCACGGCAGAAGCCTCGGGAGCGGGTGGGGAAGACGGATGCCGGCATGGATTCAGGATTCATTTGAGAGGACAGCTGCCAGGGCTTGCCGAGGGACAGCATGGAAGGGCGGGAGAGAGGGCACAAGGGTGATTCAGGCTCATCCAAAACCCGGGTCCCTGCCTTGACAGCCCTGAAAGCTTCAGTAAGGACTTTCTGGACACGTTCACACGTCCGTGTATACATATGTATGTCTGTTAATCCACACGCCCCCTTAGTTTCCTGATTTATAAGCTTTCCCATGAAATCACTGCGAGGACTAAATGACACACTGGATATCGCATGCACAGAGGGCTGAGCACCGAGTTGTACACTTGAGAAATGGCTCTCGTGACCATTATCTTGGCCACTGGCTTAAATCTGCGCCAGATGTGGACGACAGGACGCACACTGGCTCTTGGCTGACGCACTCCCGGCAGTAACGTGTCACTGCCTTCCTATGTCTGTCTGATACCCCAAGCTTCTGGGGAGACAGAGGACCCTGGCAATGGGGTTGGGACACCATTTCCAGCCCACGGAAATCAATGGCCGCAGGTGTGACAGTGGGTAACCGCTTCCCTCTTACAAGTTAGAGTCCTCCCACGTTCAAGAGCTCACCTGACTCGGCCTCCTATTCCCGCCCCCAGTTCCTTTCTCTGGCCTCCCTGTTTCAGCCACTGCAGGGAAGCAAGAAGCCAGCATTTCCTTCTTTCTACCACCTGCAGGGAGCCCAGGCAATCACTCTCCCAGGTCTCTGCTGGCTTCTCCTTCCGTGTGGCCTTCTGGGGAGCCCCACACCTTGTGCAGCCCTCGGCAATCCAGCATGGCCGTCAGTTGGTGAAGGCTGGTCTCCGAGGAGTTCAGCAGGAGCTGGATTTCGAGGAGATCTTTCTGCAGCAGGAAAAGGGGGGCAGAGGCAGAGTGTGAGCAATGGGACAGGGCTCACTGATCGTACCTCAGACCGCGTGTGCAGAGAGGCTTTCAGAGCCAAAAGAAGGGCCTGAGGCACCAGGGGAGGGGTGAAGGCCAGCAGCCAGGTCTCCACAGGTGGGCCTGGGGCTAGGGAGAGAGCACCGATGGGAAAAGGTTGCCTGGTTCACCTGGGGCTCGCCTGTCCCAGCACAGGCACTGCAGGAAGCGGCCGCCTTACCTCTGCCGTGGGGAAGAGGGGCACAGTGACCTGCAGCAGCCCCGTGACCTGGATCTGCATGGAGGTCATCGAGCGCTGGAGGACAGTCAACACCTGGGCCGAGAGAACACAGCCCCTGAGGCTAGATATTGAGGGGCCTGTCCTCCTGGAGCCCCCTCACTGCCCACTGGTTACAAATGCACAATAGGGCCTGGAGGGCCGCACCTGCTAGGAGGGGCTGGATAGGGTCACTTGTTCTAGAATGCGGGGACCCTGACCCGCATGGAGTTGGCAGTCCCAACTGTCCCACTGCTCTGGTCAACCTATCACTATGGCTATGATTATGTTCCTTCCCGCCTGCAGGAAGTCTTCCTCCATCCCTCTGGCTTCTGGAGAGCTACACGGTCCACTTGCTTCTCAGATGTGGTCTTGTTTGGGAGCACATGAGAAATTCAGGCTCTTGGTCCCGACCTCGACGTCTGTATGGTAACGAGCTCCTCAGGGAGGTGCACGTGTGTGCCTGTGCAAGAGACTCCGCTTGGGAACACACTGAGAGCACAGGTCCCTTCAGAGAGGAAGCTTCGCAAAGACCACAGTGAAGCAGGAGCACCAACCACCTTCCTGATGGGTGGCAGGACTTGGTTTGAGGGTTATGTCTGGGTGCTGTACCTGCTGGAAGGGACTGCTCACACTCTGGCTGCAATACAGGTAGTAGCGGGTCACTTCTGAAAGGTAAAAGGATGGGCGTTAGGTGGCTCAGAGGGACCAGGCCCTCTGCCACCCTCAGTGGTCAAGCCAGGCGTCCCTCCCGGGCTCCAAGCCCCTGGAAGACGCAGTCTCTATAGACCCGAGGTCTGAGGGTGGGGAGAGACGCCATCTGGCTGGCTGCATGGGCCTCGCCTGAGAATCTGGGCAGCTCCAGGGGCAGAGGTCCCAGTGTGTTACCTGGGCTGATCTGGCCTTGTGTATTGTTCAGGATGAAGATGTCAGGGGCCATACAGAAGTCACTGGTGCCCTGAGTTAGAGAGAGATGGCAGGAGTGAAGGAAGATCAGACCTGGATCCTGGGAGGAGCCAGGTGCCTGCTGCCTTAGCACTCAGCACCTTCCTGCTCATTCCTGGTAGAAAAGGTTAGGAGCATCCTTTAGGGTTCGAACCCTGGCTCTGCTGTTTTCTAGCTGCTACCGTGAATTAAGTTATTTCTTCATTTGGTTGCCTCAGCTGTCTCATCTGACACGTGGGGACAATACTATTTACCTTACAAATGAATATATGCAAAGTGTTCTGGGAAGTGACTGGCAGAGGTGTGTCAGCTATTGCTCGCATTCCTCAATGTCTCTTCAGGGACAGATGCTCAGGGAGCCAGAGAACCTAGGTCCAGGGGCAGTCGCAGGGGGATGGGGAAGTTTTTGGCTCCTTGGCCTCATCTGCCCATCTCTACTGTATCCTTCTTGCTGTTTTTAAGCTCTGCATGCCCTGGCAGTCCAAATATAAAGCTCCCTGTAAATCCCCTGTAAAGAGTGAGGTTAGAGCTGAATCCACCTAGGAGCTTTTGGGGGCAGGTCTTCCTCTGCTCAGGTGGGATGGGGTGCAGGGAGAGCATGGGACTGGGAGTCAGGATGAGCTGGCACCCAGACTCAGAGCATGGCCTGGCAGTGACCCCCACAGCCCGTTTGGCCATGTGGGAGCAGAGCAGACCTTGGGAGAGGTAGCAGCAAGGATTCTATCCTCTGAGCCAGGCTTCAACCCCACACTGGCCTGGGGTGCAGTGGGTCCCTCTACCTTTCAGAGCAGCCCCAGTAATCTCTGGTCCTGTGGCTCGTTCTGCTGAGCCACTGTCCACACGAGTGCATGCTCCCTGGGCAGGGGACCTCTCCAGATGGCTCTGAAGTGCTGGGAGCCCTTTGAGCCCTTTCCTTCTTTAGGGGCCACTGCTTTGGGGGTTCATACCTCAGTACCACTCATTAAGTGGATAGATACAAAGAGGACTTACTAGGCACCAGGCTTGGTTCTAGCATGGGTTCTGGGGCCTCTGTCATGGCTAGAAGATGTAAACAGGGGAGGTGGGGAACGACAGGCCCCACTAGATAAGAGGGCTTCCCCAGAGCTCCACACGCACGTGCACACACTCACACACCCACCACCAGGCGCTCAGGGCCCTGGGACGATTGCTTTATACACACGGAGGCCACTAACACACAGCACAGGTCAGCCCAGCTCACGATGCCCAACTAGAGCTGCAGAGCCAGCAGGCCCAGACAGCTTATGAGGTGGAGTGGCTGGAGTGGGGGACAAAGGAGCTTTGGGAAGAGGAAAGAGCAAGGCCACCATCTTGGTCTGGCTCACCCCAAGGAGAGAGAGAGGGGAGGCCCCTGTCTGAGGCTCCCCTCCCGCCTTCCCTCTTAGGCCAGGCCCACATTTCAGAGCTCAAGTTATCCCCAGCTTATGGCTCCCGGGATAGGTGAGTTAGGATGGCTGAGGTTATGTGAATTAGTGCAGAGTCAAGTCAACCACTGATGAAGACAGGTGCCCGTGTGTGCGCGTGCACGTACCTTAGGCAGTGGTGAGTGAGCTGGAGGGAGGGGGTACCTTACACAGCCGGGCAGGTGGAGAAGCTGCACAGATCCCAGCCACGTGATGGCTGAGCCTGTGGGCAGTTTCTGAGGACGAGGTGATGGTCCCAAGGGCTGCCCAAGACCCTCACGGGACGAGAGACCAAGATGTGCCTCCCATGGGTTCGCCACCTCTCCTCTTCCTATCCACAACCCTTCAAGGCAGGTGCTCTTATGCTCCTGTATTGTGCTGGAGGAAACTGAGCATGGAGAACGTCAGGGACTCTCCCGAGGTTCCACTGCTAGGACACAGAACAGGGAGATGTGGCACCAGCTGGGAGGCGCCGGCAGCCCAGGAGGTGCCAGGCTGCCCTGCAATACTGATTCTTCTCGCCCAGTCTATCTCGGGCCCTTCCTTGCTGGTGTTTCCGCTCCTTGGCCGACACCTCTCGGCCTCTTCTGCACCTTACACTGCTGACCCCACAGGCCAGGGGAAGTGAGGTCGGAGTCACAGGCCTGGAGGATCTGAATCCTCAGCGCCCAGCTACCTTCCTCTCAGTGTCATCTGGAGCACATTCTCAGGGGCAGTGCTCTGCCTACGATGTCCCTTCTGGAGACAGGTGAGGAGAGGCTGCAGAGAACAGTGAGGCAGCAAAGGCCAACAAAGGCCACTCTACACAGTGATCTTTTGACAGCTGGCCCCTGCCCTCCCCACCTCTCTTCCTATTAACATGCACAGCATCCCTGCCCCTATCAAAGGCCCTTTCAGCCTGGCCTCACATCCTCCCTCACTGCACAAGGGCCTGACTAAAGGGAATTAGGGAAATGGCACTGCTCCCAGCTCCCCGGCATTCCAGGACACTGCAAACTGAAGCCAATCGCCTGTGCTCTCCTCAACGGGATGCCTGGTAGAAGCCCCTGCTGGGAGGGAGCTGCTCCCAGGGAGCAGCTCATGGTGGCAAGCTGGAAGCTACCGTGCGTCCAGAAGGCAGAGGCTGCCCAGGAAGCAGGACTGGGCCCCAAGAAAGCTGCAGGGTGATTCCCAGTGCTTGAACTTGTGCTGGGAGGAGAGGCCACCAGGCAGCTGTCACATCGCTCCCCCGCTGGGCTCCCTCCCTGCGGTGTGTACAGCACTCCAGTCCCAGAGGCCACCAGGACTTTGAGAATGACCTGGGTGCTTGTACCCTGTCCTTTTCTGCACTGGTCAGTGTGGAGTCACGGTGCAGAATGGGGGGACAAGAGAGGCCCACTTCCTCTCTCTTCCGATCAAAGGCTTGGACCCAAGTGGCACCAGGGCCCATTCATTCTGTGGGCACCATAGAGGCAAAGTGTCCAAGGCCAGCGTTGCTGGGCAGACCCAACATTGGCCAAGGCATGAGTTTGGGCAGGGAGCTTCTGACAGTCAGAGGCCACTGCAGGGACAAATTCCTGAGCCCTTAACCTGGTACTCCTCAAAAGTGTGATTTGTGTTCTCTTCTGAGACAGTAGGGGACTTAAAAGTGGTTTTAGCTAAAGCAAACAACAAACAGCACAACAAAACAAAACACTATTTACAAATGTCCAATAGATAACTAAAAGCAGAACAAAGCTTTAGGTTCATTTTGTGAAACTCTCGGTCAAAGCCTTCTCAGCTTGGCAGATCCTGTCTTACTACGTAGTTGAGACTGACCCGGAACTCACTATGTAGCCCAGGCTGGTCTTGAACTCACAGGGGTCCACAGGCCTCAGCCTCCCGAGTGGTGAGATTACAGGTGTGCGTCACCATGCCCAGTTTAAACACTCATTTTACTTAGGCTACTCATCCTTCCAAGACAGGACAGCAGGATGAGAGATTTCCAGAGACATTCACCACTCCCAGAATCTCCAGTGCCCTAAAGGATGGTTACTTTGGACTTCCGCAAAGCCTCACATGACTGAGACTGCCCCAAGCAGACAGTCATCTCAGGAATAGAATCACCCACCCCTCCAGCACTGAGGGCTCTTCCAAGCTACAAGCAGGACTGTGATTAAGAATGGGCCAGACCCTAACCCACCCACAGATCCTTAAAGGCAGGCCTCTTGCTTTCGTGGGTGGGCCAGTCTGAGCCTCTACATCAGAGTGCTTCTACCCAAGCTGGAGGCCTCTCTGCATCTTCTCTCACCGTCTTCCAAGTAAAGTTATTGCCTGTGAACTCAAACTGCTGCTTCAGTTTTAATTTCCATTATCACTGAAGCAAGGACCGGAGCTAGCTGGTGACGCTGTCCTCCTGCCACCTCCACTTTTGACTGAACCCAGGTAGCTCAGGCAGAATGGATACAGGCCATGGGGCTGGTTTGTGGCTTTTAATTTTTGTTTTTGGGTTTTTGTTTGTTTGATTTTTGGTTACCAAGGATGGAACTCAGGAATCTGAGCTTGAGAGACAGGCTAAATCCCCAACCCTGGTTTGTGGCTTTTGAAGCAGGGAGGGGTTTTTCTTGAAATTCCCTGGTACGATGCACGCATTCTAGCACACACTCGCATCCTGCACAGGTGCACACACAGCACATGCACCGGTTTGTGGCCTCCCCACAGCGACTCACACTGCCCACAATGACCTGCTACAAGCCTTTCTTCCACAGGATGTGACTGTCAACAGCGAACATCAGCCTTCTGGCTGCTGCACGCGAGGTGTCTGGCACTGTTGAGTGGCAAAACGCTCCCCCTGCACGGAGGGCAGAGGGTCGTGCACACAGCTCAGCTCCAGGCTCAGGTCTGTTAAAGGAAGCCCCCGCTCTTCCATCTCACTTCGAGCACCACATGGAGAAAAGAGAGTGTAAGTGGGGAGGCCACAGAGGAGCGCGCTTCGGAAGCCCAGGCTCAGACCCCACCCTGCTACTTCTCTGTGCCAACTGGTCACCCACACACACCTCACAAGCAGCGATCTTACACCTTGGCTCTGTCCCTAAATATCCCATGACCTTGGGCAAGCCCTGTCCTTCCTCTGGGTCTGTTTTCCCATCTACAGGGTGTGGGCCTAGCCAGGGTGAGCTGAGCCCTTTGGCTCCAGGACTCTGGGATGCTAAGGGATGAAGAGTAGCCAGCAGCTGGCTGTTCCCAAGGGGTCACTGGATAGACCACCCACCAGGGCCCCTACTCACTACTGCTGCAGCGGTATCGGCGGCCAGGGAGGTCCAGCTGAGGAGCAGTGCTATCATCCCACAGCACAGCATCCTAGAAAGAGGCAGGTGCTCTGGGGCCCCGAGAGTGGGTACTTCCAGTACCCTTCTCCCATCCACTCCCCTACCCTGCCATCAGCCTGCTAATGGTGAGAGAGGGCTATGGGACCCACACCTAAGGCAGAGGTCCTGGGCTAGAGACACAGCCGTGAGCTCATGCAGCTAAGGAGGTGCTGGCCTGGTGGCTGGATGTGCTAGGCCTAGGCCTGTTTGCGTTCAGCTGGCCCAGAATAAGACCAGCTAGAGCAGGGACATATGGGGAAACCCTGCCTGCTGTCCCTCCTCAGCTGGGTGCTAAGGAGGAGTAGCTTGGCTGTTGCCTCATTCCCAGCCCAGGGCCTTTTCTCCTAGTTAGTTCTCTGCCTCTGGCTCACAGGAAGGGTGACTCACGAGGCCAGGAGACATTTGGAGCGTTTGGCCAGTGCCAGGCAGGTGACGAGGCAGATGACCAGGTCCAGGATGAAGAGCAGGAGGTAGGAGAGCCACCTAGGTGGAAGGGAGGAAGATCAGGGTCACCAGGGCAGAGCTCCCCCACTGCGGCCCACCGGGAGGTCTGCACAGCACCCAGACTCCCCAAATCTGCATTATGTGAGCTGCCCAGAGCCAGTCAGAGCACAGGGCACAGGCTGAGAGCTCTTCAGGGACTCTGGGGCTGCACCCAGTTTCTACCTCGACAAAGCTTCACCCTCCCACTCCCTGCCTTAACCTCCTCGGTGACGTGTCTAACCCTAACGCTGCACTACAACTTCCTGTGCGGTGGGACAGTCTACATCTGAGTTACTAGCTTCCCCTGCTTCTACTTCCAGGTGGTTCCAAGGACTTGAGACACAGCTGGTGGAAGGGAAGAAATACATTTTTAGCTTTACTTGACTTCTAATTAAATTTCGACAGCCAGATGCAGCTAACGACTTTTATACTGGACAGTGCAGCTCCAAAGTGTCCCTCTCCTTGGACCCTGCTTTCCTTTATTTCTTGAACTCTCAGGCAGCAGCAGCCCAGGCCTGACATTTATAATCACAGAGCTAAGAAAGATTCTGAGATGCCCGCTTCTCTGCTGAATGCTCAGCCTGGCCTCTCCAAGGCCTCCTGGCCATGCCCCTAGCTGTGTGAACTCCACGTAGCACGTTCAGGTTCATGTCAAACAACATCTGTGCCACGCACAGAGCTCAGCACTGAGGATGACTATAGGGGAGGGCCTGTGCCTGACCACCAGACAGCTTGCATGGGGCAAGGGATCCAGGGTCAGGATACCCAGAGCACCTACCCACGGACCTCCAGGCTTCCCAGCCCACCCCCAGCTCTTGGGAAGTTTTCACGCCCCCAGGGCTGATCTGATGGGGAAGGCCATTGCACACCAGCTAGGAGATCTTGGCAAACCACCTCATCCCTTTGGACCTCAGTTTCCCAATTTGTAAAGGAAGCTGGAACCTCTCTAATTCATCCTGCAGAGTGGGGGCAAGGGCCACATGCTTGCTAGGGTAGTAAGGCCAAGTAGCCAGGGATGGCAAATTCCCCGCTCTCCAATGTCTGTTGAGCAAGGGTTGACGAATCCAAGAACTCTAAGTCCACAAGCACTGAGAAAAATCCCAAACTTTTTCCTTTTTTTCCTTCCTGTTGGACCGGAAGTGGTCTTCGCAATGCAGCACCAGCCTCAGCCTATTGGCCCTGCAATGGGAACCAGTCTGGGGGATTGGCTGGAGGCGGGGCAGACACAGGGCTTTTCTCAGTCCCTGCAGGGCGAAGTCCTTTTGATCATTATTTCTGGTCACACAAGAGCCAAACAAATCCACTGGCCCCGCCTCCAGCAATGGATTTCCCCTTCACCCACACCACAAAGGGAGCAAGAAAGCTTTGGGAGAGAGGGTAGGGGGTGGGTGGAGCGGGCAGACAGTGACAAAGAGGCTCTTTGCGGAAGGGAGGAAGCCGGAGGTCCCTGAGAGCCAAATGAAATTCCTTCCATCCCTGGGGGTCAGGGCTTAAGGCCAAAATCAAAAGGCGTTAAACACTACAGGGGTCTTTGGGATTCCTAGAAGTAGAGTCAGGGCTGTGGGGCAAGAGCAGAGCCTTGCTGTCACTTGCTGGAGACCACCAGGGAGCCAGGCTTCTTAGACTCAGAGCTGGAGGGAACCTGGGAATCCATCCCGTTACCATCCCCTTCTACAGGTTGGAAAGTCAAGGCCCATGGTGCGGGGAGCCGGGCCTAGGAATCCCAGACACTTCACAGGAACTGCAAAGGACACGGGGAATGTGTCTCAAGGCACCGGCTCCATGTCCCCAAACTAAAGCCGTGCTGTTTTCCACCCCCAGGATCCACAGCTGGGGCTCTGTGTTGCCCTGCGTGTGCCTCATGAAGCAGTTCCTAGAAACGGCTTCTGCGGCGGGCCTGTTCTCCCAAAGGAGCACAGAACGGAGGGATTTCTAACCAAGAACCTGGCTCTCGCCAGTGGAGCCACTCCCACCCCGGTTCCCACAGCTCGCCACATACATCCGGGCTCTGCAGCTGACTGTGCCTCCTCCCGAGCCTCTTTTCCGCGAGCTCCTCCGAGTCATCGCAGGCCTTGTGTGACGTGTCAAGAGCGCTGTCCCGCTGGACAGCCACTGGGCAGGATCTTTGGAGGCGGTGGCGCTGTGCCCTGAGCGCTGAGAACAAGCCTGTGACCTACAGCCGCTTGGGCAGAAGGTGCACAGAAGAACGCGGAAAAGGGGAAGCTACGGGACGCTGCTCACGTTGAGAAGCGGCACAGGCCCATCTTGGGCTAGACCTTTCCTCCTCTGAATAAAAGGGTGGGTATTTGGGCATGAGGGTCAGAGGGAATGCTTTCAATCACCCACTGGAATAACTGAATGTGCCTCAAAGACACATTACCGTTAAAACTCCTCAAAAGATTCCCCGCTCACTTTAAACACCCTAAACTCATAGTTCTCAGCCATGCCTCTTTGGAAACAGGGCCTCACTGTGTAGTTCACATTGACCTTGAACTATGTAGTCCAGGTCGTCCTTGAACTTTTGGCAATCCTCCTGCCTCAGCCTCCCAAACGCTGTGATTACAGGCATTCACCACCATGCCTGGCTCTTTCTACTTTTTGAAGCAGTTCTAGAAGTCCTCCTCTGTGAACATCTTTAGTGGTGCTGTGGTGGCTGCCTCAAAGTTCTGAACCAATGGAAAATGTTTACCGTTTATAGTCACTTTGACTTTCAGGAAAAGCCAGATCCAATGAGTAAAGTGGATGAAGACACAGTGATGTTTTTATAGCCTGCCCTTCTGTTGGATGGCACTCAGCAGCAGCAGTCACTGTATTTTTCTCACACTTTCTAAGGCTCTCACAAAAGAGGACCTCCAGAATTTCTTCAGGAAGAGCCAAGGATGACGGGATAAGTGTGCTCATGGCTAAGGGGAGTATTCTGAGTGGGATTAACGGCAGTCTTTTACTGTAGTAATTACCTTTAAATTTAAACACTCACTGTATCTTGGCCACACTTCATATTTTATCACTGTCTGTATCAAAATGTCCACAAGGGTCCTATGCTAGGTGTACTCAGAGAACAGTAAGGTCAACGTGGACACCCATTCCGGACACACGCCTGGACCTGATAAGAGGTCGCAGACAGTCCTTAGAGCTGGCAGTTTCTATCTGGTGAGGAGCATCTGAAGGAAAGGAGTTAGGTCCCTTTGTACCCTGCATGTCTGTGACAGCACCATCCAGAGCGGGGACTTCATAAACTTCCCCTCCTCAGGACCCTAGCAGCGCCTCCTGTTGGGGAGAAGGTCTCAGGAGTGTTTTCTCTGGACTAAGCCCAGCAGTGACATCCTGGGGTATGGCTTGATGACAAAATGGGAAATAGACCCGGAAAAGCAGAGCATGTTGGGGTAAAGGCTCTGACTTTCGTCGATGGCTTGAAGAGGAGCCAACACATTTGGGGGTGGGATTCCAAAAGCTGACACTTACTCTTCATGCCTCAGATCTGGACACTCAGCTCTGGAGCACAGTGACGCATACCGAGTGCCTGCTGTCGTGTGGTGGGGAGACTCCCTAAGGCCAGGACTACTGCCCCTCCTTGGTGCTCCTCAAAGTGACCTTCCTAGACTCTGGGCAGTCAGTCTGCGGTCTCTGCCCCGGACAGTCTGGGAGGCGGGCAGGCAGGGGAGACACCAGTGGACAGCCAAAGGCTAGCAGAATGTTTGTGGTAAAGGTGGGGCAGCACCCCCACCCAGCCACTCTTTGCTCAGATACCACGCCGGTGAGGCTGGAGGCGTCACTGGGCCTGGTGCAGCCCTGCTGGCCCCTCACCTGTAGTACTCCACGTAGGTGGTCTGGTTCGACAGCTCGGTCAGCTGCAGGGTGACCTCCCTCCACACAGGCAGCCTGGACAGCTGTGAAACAGCGTTGCCTGCCATCTGCTGTATGAACTTTAGGGTCTGGATATAGTCACCTCGGGCAGCAAAGATCTCACTGAGACGGGCCAGGTGCTGTTCCAGGTCCACCTTCATCCTTTGGGCATTCTCGAACACCTAGGGAGAGGCAGGGGCAGAGACTCTAGGCTTTGCCAGGTGAAAGCCAGGCAGGTGCGGTTCTGGTTTCTCACCTGGGAAGTCTCTACAAGCTGCTTGGGCTTGAAGGGACTCACCAAGATAGCCCAGCCCTGAAGAGAGGGACCAAAGACAGGCCCTGTCACTCACTGTTACAGCTTGGACCTGGCATGTCTCCCAAAGGCCCATGTACTAAAGCCTTGGTCCCCAGCTTGGCAAGGATCAATAGAGGAGACAGGGAAAAATTTTAAGGGTGGGGCCTGTGGGAGGTCTTTAAGTCATCGGGGTACTTCCAGGAAGGCAATTGGTGGATCCAGTCTCTTCTTTCTTGTTTCCTACCCAGGAGGTGAGCAACTCTGCTCTGCTAGGCCATTGGGCCCAAAAGCAAAGGAGCCAACCAGCCATAGGCTGAAATCTCCCAAACTGGGAATGAATACAAACATGGTCTCTTTCTAAGTTAATTATCTCAGGTATTTGTTATACAGTGGATCCTTGACTTACAAACTCAGTTTGTTCTTGAGGGCTGGTTGTAACTCAAGTTGGTCAATTGCGGGCTCAGGCTCCTCTACATTGCCTTTGAAGTCTCTCTCCTATACACAGGCCGATCTCAGTGCCCTTAGAGAGACACTGGCCCAGGATTTCTCAGTTAACCGCACACAGGAAAGGAGGTTGTAATGTTCCTTCCAGAACTCTTTAAGGGTTAAATCTGTATCTGAGACCATTGGAGGAAGCACAAGTGGCTGGCTTTTGGGTTGTAACTCAGGACTGGTTGTAAGTTACAACTAAAATTCTGGTCATAACCCAAGTTGTTTGTATGTCAGGTCAGTCGTAACTTGAGGGTCCACTATAATGACAGAAAGTTAACATACCCACCCAGACTGCCTGGTCTGGCCTTCACCAGGACCTGGGCTCTTAAGATCTAGTGCCTCACTGTGCAGACTGAACATCTTCAGGCTGAAAATACAACATCTGAAACTTCTTAAATCTCTCGCAGGAAAAGCTATGCAAATATTCTAAAACCTAAAAACTCTCAAAATCCCAACAACTGTGATCCCAGGTGTTTCAGATAAATGGATACCCAGGCTGTGTAAAGACCCAAATGGGGAAACACAATAGTCCATTTTTCTTCCTTGAAGACTCTTAAAGCTTGAAATGCTCGAAAGGAATTAATTCTCTTTCAGAGAAATAAAATGTTGAAACTGAAGAACACCTATGTTGATACCTAGATCTTTATGCTCACAGGATTTCTTCATCCCTACAAGAGAAGCTCTTGGTTGTGGAGTTAGCAACAGCTGAGTCCTAACTCCTGGTGAAGCCAGAAGGGTAGGAATTCGCAAAACAAAGAGAGATCAGACCTGGCCTCTGCAGAGCCTGGACGTGAGTGAGGAGGGAGTCGATACCTTCGGTGGGGACTTATGTCCTCCCCTGACATCTGTCCTGCCAGCTGCTTGGCCAGGCTCCTGTTCCTCGACTGGACTTTAAAGGGCTTGGAGCTGAGTGGGAGCATTTGTCTGTGGCTGTGTCTGAAGGAAGCGTTTGGCTGTGCAAGGTAGAAACAGGACAACGGCAGTGCCTGTCCTTGCTGGCTTCCAAACAGGGGGTGCAGGGGCGGGCACTTGTATTGCAAAGGTGCTTTCAAACAGCCAGGCCCAGGCTGCCAGGATGCAGCTCAGCAGCCCAAGCTCACCCCTGCTGAGCCTGGGTGTTGGCAGCCATGGGGAAAAGGGCTCTGTTGTTCTGAAACTGTCACGCTAAACCAGAAGCACAACAGGCCAGGAGGGGGACAGTGTGTGCTAATCTCATCCGGCAGCCTTCAGCTCCGAGGCTTGGAAGATAAAAACAACACAGAGGAGGGCATAGCAAGAGGGCCAGCTGCGTGTCACCCCTCGTGGCCAACTCTGGGCTCGCGGCATTACGGGGACTTAGCGTCAACCTTGTGGCTCTTCACATCTGCCCTACACTGTGACTTCTTGGTTCCAGAAGAGAGAATGGCTCTCTTTGTTGTATTTTGTTTTATTTTCTCCACATCAGCGGCTTGTTTTCTGGCTTGTGCCTGGTTCTCAGGAGCTGGTGCAGGGCTAAGAGATACTTGATACAGCCTTGGTTTGGAAAGCTTGTAGCTTGACACAGGGAAGGAAAAACTCCAAACCATGTCAAAGCTCATTTATAACGAAGCATCACCCTATAAGCCTTTCTGTTCAATTTAATAAGATAAATGCACAAGGGCTTTATGCCCTTGACGCAAATGGCACAATTATTAAATGGTGGGTGACAGGAGGAGCAAGACCAGCACTATTTTTACATTCTGTTATTACACCAACAATACAGAACAAAGGGCTGATAAAAAATTATCTGCAAACTTTTGCCCGAGTACCATTTTTTCCTCCTTTTATGACTACATTTTTAATTTTTTTTGCTGCTGGGGATGGAACCCTGAGCCTCCTACCTTCAGGTCAAGAGCACCATGACTGTGTTACATCCCCAGCTCTTTTCTAAAAACAACTCTTTCTAAAAAATAAAACACACATAGCAGTAAACAGCTGTCAAACCTGTCTCTCCTCCTGATCTCTTTCCATAGGAAACAAAATAAAATTTAAAAAAAATTAAAACCATCACACTGACCTGCTTCTAGGTTTGCTCTCGCACATACACCCTCAGGGCTTCAGAGGTTGAGGGCACAGGTGCCCCGCCCAGGAAGACAGAAGCGCCAAGCCCCAGAGACCAAGAGGAGAACCACAGGGGCAGTTCAGCTCTCTCCCAGTCCTCTAAACCGTTTTTTTGGTACTGGGGATTGAACTCAGGACCTTGAACTTGCAAGGCAGGCAGTGGCACCACTGAGCTAAATCCCCAGCCTCTAAACTGCTGATTAAAGAATGCGACATTGCTCCTCCAGGTGGAGTCCTGGGGCCACCAAAACTACCAGGGAGTCACCCAAGGATGATAACTCAGTTGTACAGAATGGGAACCTTAGGGGTGGAGGCTGCACCCCAGCTGAACAAGCCCCCCAGGCCATTCTAATGCAAACCTCTGGGAGGGAGGGAGCACTTGAGCTTCTGAGGTTACCTGGGAGCTGGGCTGGACAAGGTAGGGAGCAGGGTGTGTGTGTGTGTGTGTGTGTGTGTGTGTGTGTGTGGTGTGTGTGTGTGTATCTCAGATTCAAGAGAGGGCAAGAAAGAGCAAAGAGTCGAGATCAGAGACCTAGATTCTGGCTGAAATGTACTAACTTTCAATGCTGGGGTAGTACAGCAATAAAAACCTCCCCATGCCTCAGTTTCTCCAACTAGGGGCTGTTCACAGGTTTGCTGCAGGTGCAAACACAAGTCAGCAGAGCTCATGGCGCTGCAGAGCCTGAAGGCCCACATTAAAGCTTACTGAACCCCGAGAGGAAGGGAAGCTGTTTGGTCCTCTGGGCAAGGAGCTGGGATCCAGGTCCCCTCTACCGGGTGGCTGGATGCTGGGCACCAGATCCACAGAAGGAACCCACCCAGCACTCCAAGCGTCCCCTCCCCACAGAGCCTGCGGCTGATCCAGACCCCTGCCAGGGTGCCCAGGCTCTGCGTTGCCGTGGTATACATGGAGGACACAGGATTCTCTCGGGTGCAAGGTCACAGGCAGGAGGTATGGCGGGGACGGCAGAGGGCCAGCCAGCTGTGTTGGGGGCCGCCTGGTTGCTCAATCTGGCCCCAGCAAGGCTCTGCCCCATGGGTCTGAGTTGTCTGACCTGCCCTCGAATTCCCTGCCTGACCCTACTGCCCACATCATCCCCCACCTCGGCCTCCACTTTCCTGTGATTACAGTAATTACTGCAATGAGCTCATTATCTTAGTCACCCCAGCTGGAGCGCACTTTGTAGTTTGCCCAGCTCTCACCAATATTAACTCACCTAATGCCATTTATCAGATACTTGTACCCCACCCCTGTGTTGGGGTTGGCGGGCATCCTCTGAGGTCTGCTGCCTCCCCTGGGGCCCAAACTACTCGCCCCACCCTTCCAGGGGGCCTTCTGTCTGGGGGTCGGGGTGGAAGCTGGACAGGAGCAGCTCCTAGCTGGCTGATGACTCCGGAGCCCTGGGATGACTGTCCTCACTTCTCAGTAGCGGAGGGGAGTGCAGTCCGACCTCCAGACACAGAAGCTTTGGGGATGAGGGTGATGAGGGTCCGAACCTGGCCCCGGGACACCCTGAGAGTTGTTCCCAGCTGTACTCTCCTCCCCTGAGATAAGGATAAGGACTCAAGGTTTCCCATCAGAGCAGTGCAGCCAGTGAAGGTCACGGCCTGGGACTTTTCTGGGCAAGAGATTCTTCTTTCCAGGGAGGGTCTTCTTCAGGATTCTGTGCAGATGGTGTAAGTGGAAGGGGAAGAGGGAGGGGCGAAGGCGACAGTGCCAAGAAAGGAAGACAGAGGCCAGAGGGCTGTGCCCACGGACCCCCTCCTATTAGGGAGGTGGAAGTCAGAGGCTGAATTCCAGGGGCCAGGTCCTATCCATGCCTCCTGGCAGGTGACCGGACAGCTCCTTCACCGCAGGAGCGCACCTTCACAACGCGGTCCACACTCCTGGCTGTCTCCCTGAAATGGATCCCTGTGGACATGACACACGGAGATGGGCTGCTGGGCTGGCGTGCGGTCCTTAGGCTCCTCCCCGACTGCCAGGGGCATGACAGGCTGCTCCTTACGGCGAGCCCTGCAGCAGGGCAGACTGAGGGATCAGAGCCTCAGAGGAGTTTAGGGAGCCAGAGGGCGGGCCGGGGAGCAAGTCCTCCAGCTGGGGCTGGGTTCTGTGGCAGAAAAGGTCAAGAATAGGGCAGCACCCAAGGACCAGTTTCCAAAGGTCCCTTTGCCTTTCCCACTAGAGCCCAGTACTTAGGGAGTGCCCAGGGCTGTCACAGGAAACCGGCAGAAGAGATGTGGCTCTCCCTGCAAAAGGCACCTGGGGCTAAGGGTAAAATTAGAGAGAAACCCAAATTTCTTGTCTTAAGTGTCTGTCACTTGTGCCAGGGCTCAACAGAGTCTCTCTCTCTTTCTCCTAAAAGCTCCACTTCTCTGGCCAGCACAGCACAAACCTGCACCATGATCCCCCATGACTGACTGACTGGAAGCCAGGGCCCTGAGAGCATCTCCCCACTCCACAGGGCTTACTCCTGGTTCCGGGGACAGAACTCAGGACTTCGCACTTGCGAGGCAGGCGGCAGAATCACCGAGCTAAATAAATCCCTGGCCCACTCCTCATTTCTTAAGAGAAGTTTCCTTTTCTTTTTTTGAGACAGGGTCTTCACTATGTAGTTGATACTGACCTGGAACTCACTATGTAGCCCAGGCTGGTCTTGAACTCACAGAGATCCTACTGCCTCAGCCTCCTGAGTGCTGGGATTACAGGCATGCGCCACCATGCCAGGCTCGCACACACCTGTAATCCCAGATACATGGGAAGCTGAGGCAGGAGTCCAACTTTGAGGGCAGCTTGGGAAATTTAGCAAGACCTTATCTCAAAATGAAAAGGCAAAAAGGGCCGGGGGTGTAGCTCAGTGGTAGAGCACAGCAGGCTGACTTTCTATGTTCGAGGACACTTCAGCAAATGGGAAAGCTTTCCACTCTCTTTTCTGTGAGATTTGATCCCATAGCTGCCCCCAAGGCCTTCCTGGCCTGGGAAGTAGGAACTGCAGCCCAGAAAGGAGTCCAGGCTGGCAGCATCCACCACACGGGCCTGCAGTGTGCAGCTGGGCTCCTAGGACCAGACTGGCACCCTTGTTCTGGCCACAGTGACCTCATGGGTCTGTGCCCAGCAAGCTGCCCAAAGGCCTTACCAATTTGTCGATCCCAGAGAAGGTGTGGTTCGCATTGTCCAGGGAGTTCTCCAGCTGGTACGCGCCATCGTTGGTCTCGCTGTTTCCATAGAAACCAACGCCCACCGCAGCACTGCAAGCAAGACCCCAAACCAAGGTTAGAGGTGACAGCCAGACAGCGTGCTTTACCTGAAACTGTCTTTTGGTTCACTGTTCTCCTGGTTCACAGCAAAACTGAGCAGCAAGGAGGAAGAGTTCCACATAACCCTCCCCTCTGTGTACAGGGACTCCTCCGCCGTGGGTGTTCCTCGCAGCTGATAAGCCCCAGTGGACAGATGGTTACTACCAGGAGCGCATGGTTTGCGGAAGGCTCATGCCTGGTGTCGCACTTCCGTGGGCTCAAACAACACGATGTGTAGCCATTGTGGGCCCAGAGAGTAGTCTCACCGCCCTAAGAACCCTCTGTAGTTTGCCTGCTTAATCCATCCCTCCTCCCACCCAGATCTTTCAACTGGCTCCACAGTTTGGCTTTTTCTAGAACATCACACAGTTGGAATCCTACTGTGTGTGGCCTTTTCAAATTGGCTCCTTTCACTCCGTGATAAGACACTGAAGCCGGGTAAGATGGTGTGTGCCTATAACCCAAGAATCTGGGAGGCTGAAGCAGTAGGATCATGAGTTCATGGCCAGTCTGAGCTACACCATAAGCGCAAGGCTGGCCTACTTACACAGTGAGATCCTGGCTCAAAAAACCAAAACTACGCACTGAGGCATGTTCCATGTCTTTCCTGACTTGAGAGCCTATTTTCTTTTAGGGCTGAATATTCCATCATGCAGCTTTTGGCAGTTGTGAGTAAAGCTTCAATAAACACCCTGGGTGTGCAGGCTTTTGACTTTGGCTGAGGGACTCTCTCTTGGGAGTTGGGGCGAGGGGATAAAGTCTAGAGATTTTAGGTTAAGGGCTACTCGGAATCACACAGTAGGAGCCAGCTTGTTTCTGGGAGGCTGGCTCTACATTTCCTACGAAAGGCAGAGCATGCGGGCCAGGCTGGGGATTGTGTACAGCAGGTTGGGGTGAGGAGGAGCACCCGGGCGCCCACATGGTCACAGCTCTCTGGGGGGCTCCTCACCAGTGGCCTCCGGACCACTGTGGCTGAGAGAGAACGTACACACAAGCCTGAGGACTCCCTTGCCATTTTCTGCCCTACCGACCTCCCCATGCAGCACAAGGCAGCTGGTCCTCCTCGGCGAAGCTCCAGGGCACAGAAGGGTCCTCCTATACTGAGCGGAAACCTGTAACCCACGCCCCCACCTACCAGGTGCTCTGGATAAACCTCAACTTCTGTGCGACCTGCACCACACACCTCAATGTGGCTTCCATGTCCCCTTTCACCTGCTCTCCGGGTCCTTCTACAGGGAGTTGTCCAGGGTCCTTCCTACCCACCACTGACCTGACCTGCACCCCCTCCCCAGCCCCCACTGACTTGTGTACAAACAGCCCCTGGCTTTCTTTTTTTTTGTTGTTTTTTTGAGACAGGGTCTCACTATGTAGTTGAGACTGACCTGGAACACTATGTAGCTGTACAAACAGCCCCTGGCTTTCTTTTTTTTTGTTGTTTTTTTGAGACAGGGTCTCACTATGTAGTTGAGACTGACCTGGAACTCACTATGTAGCCCAGGCTGGTCTCGAACTCACAGCGATCCTCCTGTCTCAGCCTCTGAGTGCTGGCATTAAGGAATGCGCCACTGCTCCTGGCGAGCCCCTGGCTTTCTTCACTGGAACTCCCATCAAGCCCAGCCTCTCCTTCCTGTAAGTCTGTGTTGAATTTTGTTAATTGAAACCTAGCTGTGAAATTTTAGATCATTGGTTCTAGTCCAACATGTCAGCTTCAACAAATCTTTTCAGATCTCAACTCTGTCATCAATCATATTCTACCTGGTCCACACCCCTTGGGACCACAGATTGATTAAGCAGCCTCCTGAGTCTTCATCCAAAAGAAGGGGGAAGATAAATGCACTCAGGACTCTACTTACCCTTCCATTCCCCTTTAAATGGGACAGAACCTAAGATGGAATGCCCTGGAAGACTTGTACAAATCTTCCAGCATGCCCTTGACCCCTAAGTGTTTTTCAGGACATGATCCAAGAGTTATGGGCACGGAATTATCTGGGGTAGTTGGTAAAGTGTAGATAGACAAGCATCACCCACTCTGACCCTGTGTGGTCTGGGATTTGAATATTTCAAAGCATGGTTCCTATATTCCTTCTCTCTCCAGTCTGTGATCCATGGCATCATTCAGTGTTCTCTGAAATCAACCAATTACACACCGGCTTAGCTGCACTACTGTGTGGCCCCTCTCTCCATGGTACGGAGCAGGTTTGTTCGGTGCTCAGCCACAATGTTTATGCATGAGATGTACGGTATTTGCATCAGCCTCCAGCTGGTAACTTTATTTTAAAAAAGCAAGGCAGGGCCGGGGGTATAGTTCAGTGCCAACACACCTGCCTTGCAAGTGCAAGATCCTGAGTTCCATCCCTGGTATCAAATTAAAAAAAGCAAGTAAAATGATTTTTCTTTTCTTTTTTTTTGCAGTGCTGGAGTTCAAACCCACGGCCCCTGCACATGCTAAGTGAGTGCCCTACCACCAAGCCCTCAAATGATTTATGTGCAGAAAAAGCCTTTCATCTTTACTTTTCTCGTCTAGCTATCTAAGTCAAGATCAGATGTTTTCTGAGAATTCAACCTCAAGCCAGCCTTTTTTGGGGGTGGGTACTGCAGACTGAATTTAGGACTTTGCACTTGTGAGGCAGGTTCGGCGCCAGGGAGCTAAATCCCCAGCCCCAGCCAACCTTCTTATTTCCTCTTTCCCATCCTCTTACTTCTCTTACTCCTTGCTTTCTTGTTTGTTGCCATTTTGCTGATTTGTGGGTTTATCCCAGGTGGCCCGGACATGGCTGTGAACTCACCCTTGGCCTTCCAGGACCAGAAACAGCCCCGGCCATTTATTGAGGGTCACTCTACCCTTCCAGCTGTCATCGGTCCTGGCTGGGCCACGTGGATGACCACACTGCTGGTGGGGTGATTTGGTGGCTGTGCCTTCCCCTTGGCATGCCACCACCACGCTCCTCCCCAAACACCAAGCCGCTGCCCTTGGGAAGGGGCACATGCACGCCCCCTCTCAGGACTACCTGCTTGCTCGAGAACCTCCTGTTCACCGTCTCTATAGACTGCATTTCCCTCTTCTACTGCATCCTCAGTAGCAGAGTTCAGCATGATCCTCCCATCCAAATCCCTTGCACTTTATCTCCTCTCCCTCTCCTCCTACCTCTTTTTTTTTTTTTTGGTACTGGGGATCGAACTCGGATCCTTGTGCTTGCGAGGCAGGCGGTGGAACCACTGAGCTAAATCCCCGGCCCTCTGCCTCTCTCCTTGATCCCTCCCCCCAAACTCATGTGGCTAAGGTGACCAATGACCTCTGTGCCACTAACTGAGGGCATTTCCAAACCCTGGTACACTTGTCCTCCCCTCCTGAGACCCGCTGTCTGTGCCCGCACTTTCCCATCTCCTTGCCAGCTCTACACTTGGTCCCAGCTTTCTTCCTGTCTCTCGCGTCACTCTTCCTGTGGCAGCCCCACATGGCACCCCTGCCACACTGTCTACCCCTATGACCTCCGATCTATCCACTCTAACACGGTGCGCCTCCATCAGTGTTCAGTGTTTCAAAGACCCCTTCAACTCAGTCTGTGGAACCCCAAGCCCTCTCTTCGGGTCCCTCCCAGTGTCCTGCATCTCAAGGTGGCACCACAACAGCAGCCAGGTGCTTAAGCCAGACCCTGGGGACTGCTCCCCTCACAGCTTCTTGTCCTTACGTCTCCCACTTGTCATCCGTGCCCCTGTGTCCTCTTGTCCTCTGCCAGGCCCTAGTATGACCCATTGCTCTCCACCTGGCAGCCAACAGCTAGAACTTCACACTTGTCCCTTCTAAGCCACCCGCTGTCCTGAGGTCACTTTAGCAGTCACATCGTTGGACTGGGCCCAGGTCTGTTTGCTCTCCAGTCTGCCCCTCCCGGTCCCCTGCTGTTCTCCATCCATCATAGGGTGCTGACCCCATGCATTAAATTCCTCAAGATCCTGCTGGGTTTGGCTGATGGAGGCACAGGCAGGAGCCTGTGGGTAGGAGGAAGGTGAGCTTGGCACGTGCCTCTCCTTACAGCAGCTATTGAGCTTGTCGTGTGGCTTCCGTCCATTGTGGCTCCAACTTCTCTGGTGATGTGGTTACGATGGTTTCAATCACAAATGTCCCCCAAATGCACACCTGTAATCCTAGCATTTTGCAAGGGTGAGGCAGGAGTTCAAGCCCAGCCTGGGCAATTTAGCAAAACCTTGTCTCAAAATAAAAATTAAAGGGGTACGGATGTAAGTCAGTGCAAAGGCCCTGGGTTCAATCCCACATACCATCAATCCTCCAAAAGGTACTCAGAGATGGGGCTATGCGAGGGCTGCCAACCTCATCAGTGAGTTAATCCACTGGTGAGCTCAGAGCTGAACGTGTGAGCAGGCAGGGACTGGTGGGCAGAAGCAGGTCACTGGGAACGTAATCTGGCACAGTCTGTACTGTTCTCTGTCTGGACTCCCAGGTACCACGGACTGAGCAGCTTTCGTCCACTGTGATGTTTTGCCTTGGAGCCAGCTGACCATGGACAGATTCTCCTGAAACCAGGAGCCAAAACCAACCTCTCTGCCTTTAAACTGTGTATGTTAGGTATTTCGTCCTAGCAAGGCAAAGCTGAATAATGTGCACAGCTTCTCTCTCCTGTCCCTCTGGCTTGTGGGCCATGGTGTCCTCTGCTATCACTGATCTGAGTCTCTCACTTTGCCTGTTTGGTCTCTGAGCTCTTCCATTGCCCCACTGATGTCTCCTTCATATTTGGGTTCCTCTGTTTTAAATATTGCAGTAGTCTGGCTTTTGGTTAAGCCTGATCTGCTTACCCTACCTCCTTGCCAACCACATTGCTCTTAAAAACTCACTTTCCTCACAGAGCCAAAAACTCCTGGATGGTTTGGGTCCCATCTTCCTATCTGTGTCTTCTCACATTTTTACACCATGACATCTGCCTTGCATGGCTGCTTCTTGCTCGTCATCTACTAAACAGCACCCTTAGCCTCCTCACCTGCTCTCTGCTGCAGCCACACTGGCTTCTTTCAACTATGCGCTGTCTCCTGTCACAGTTCCTTTTGCCTCTGCCTGGAAGTATTTCCTCCTCCTCTGCTCCCACCTCTGCCTAGTTAGAGACTGCCCATCTAGATGTCCTTGTTGCCTAGGATGCCTGATCAGATAGACTGGTCTTCCAACTTTATGCCTGTTTCTTTCCTCTCCAGCATCCTTGGTTTGTCATTATTCTGTTTCTCTCCCAAAAGACCAAGAACCATAAGACCAAGAGAGCACACTGGTGCCTGTTTGTCTTACTACCGGCTCTCTCTTGCCTGGGACAAGTGTCTAAGATGTTGTGGAACAAATCCAGCCACACAGACTCCTTCTGTTGTGAGTTCAGTATAGACTACAGGTAATTATTACTCAGTGGAATTGATGCCACTCCCCAAGCCATTTTTAATGCTCCAAAATACATATGGTTCCCCAAATTTGATGGTTTAACTTAATGATTTTTCAACTTAATGAATGTGCAGAAATGTACCTATATGTAACTGTCCTTTTTTTTTTTCAAATTTGATGGTTTAACTTAATGATTTTTCAACTTAATGAATGTGCAGAAATGTACCTATATGTAACTGTCCCGTTTTTTTTTTTTTCTTTTCAGCATGGTATTCGATGAATTACATGACACAGCAAACACTTTATCAGATAGGCTTTGTGTTTGATGATTTTGCCTGACTGCAGGCTGATGTAAGCATTCTGAGCCTATTTGAGGTAGGGTGGAGGTGGGCACAGTATTGCACACCTGTAGTCCCAGCACTTAGGAGGGCTGAAGCCAGAAGATCATAAGTTTGGGCCCAACCTCAGCAACCTAGTGAGACCGTGCCTCCCCCTTCTGTCTCCTTCAATGATCTTTTTCTACTCTTTACCTCCATTATTTCTAGAATTCATTCTTTGATTTTAGAAAACACAAACTCACCCTTCATCTAGCAGGTTTGGGAGTTACATCTCTTCCCCCTGTATCATTTTGGAGGTCTTCCCTGCAAGATTACTGGATGGAGGTATTCAACAACTAAAGTTTGGAGACCAAAACTAAAAAGGTAACTGGGCTAAGAGGACAGCCAAAATTTTGGTCCTGGCTCCTCAAGGACAACAAAGATCCAGGAAGCCTTTTCTACGAGAGTCTACATCTTTGAGGGTGCCAAACTCCAAGCAGTCAAACAAATGGAACCAATTACAAATGTGCTAGATTTCTTCTACTGGGATCTACCAGATCAACCTTGTGAAAAGCTCCTAACTGTTAAACTACAATACGACTTCTGTGTTGGATTCTGAAGTCTCCTTATCCTCTTTGTGGGAGGCTATTACTAGTTCCTTCTGGTGGAAATGCTTATTGGCTATATTCATAGTAATCTTGGGCTGGGGATTTAGCTCAGCGGTGCCGCCTGCCTGCCTCACAAGTACAAGGTCCTGAGTTCCATCCCAGCTACAAAAAAAAAAAAAAAA